GTTGCCCCTCTTCCAGGCCAGCTCTCTGCTGTGGCCAGGGAGTGCAGTGGAGGATCCCCAAGTGCTTGGGCCCTGCACCCCATGGGAGACCAGGATAAGCACCTGGTTCCTGGCTTCAGATCAGCGCGGCATGCCAGCTGCAGCGGCCATTGGAGGGTGAACCAACGGAAAAAGAAGACCTTTCTCTCTGTCTCTCTTTCTCTCACTGTCCACTCTGCCTGTCAAAAAAAAAAAAAGATCAAGGACATCCAAGAGAGTACAGGGAGGGGCTCAGGTGCAGGTGGCAGGGGATATGCTCTCCAATTCAGCTGAGCTGGTCATCACGATTGCTGGCATCCTGCAGTCCATCACTGAGTGTGTCAAACAGACCTGTGTGGTCATGTTGGAGACTCTCCCAGTCCCCTTCCACAAGTGAGTGACCATCCTGTACCAGCCCAAGTCATCCGGTTCTCTGGTCATCTTTGCAGTGGTCAGGCCTATACCATTCATCAACGGTATGCCATTCCACAGCCAGATTTGGCCAAGCTGTACCACTTGGCAATGCAACAGTCTCATTTTCCCATGACGCATGGCAACACCAGATTCAGCGCAGGTCTGGATGCACCTGCTCAGACGACTACTCATGAACTCACCATTCCGAATGATTTGATTGGCTGCATAATCGGGCATCAAGGCGCCAAAATCAATGAGCTCCATCAGATGTCTGGGGCGCAGATCAAAATTGCGAATGCAGTAGAAGGAGCTATTATAGGCAGGTTACCATCATCGGATCTGCTGCCAACATTAGCCTAGCTCAATATCTAATCAATGCAAGAGAGCAGCTAGAACAATGCAGATTCACCCATAACCCCTTTCTGCTGTTCACCACCACCCATGAGCCATCTGTGTAGTTTCTGGACAGTCAGCGATTCCAGGTTTTAAATAGTTCGTAGACTCTCAGTTTCAACATACTTTATCATGCACTTGTGACTTTTTAATTAAAAGCATTTTAATTCCTTTCTCTGTTCAGCTGTTAATGCTAAGATCCATATTTAGTTTTAAAAAGCTTCTACCCATGTTCCTTTTTTTTCTTTTAGTTTTTCTTGGCTCATAAATTTTTCTGTTTGTCATGGAAATGTAAGAGTGGAATATTAATACATTTCAGTTTAGTTCTGTAATGTCAGGAATTTTTCAAAAAAAAAATTAAAAGATGGACTGGAGGCTGGCACCGCGGCTCACTAGGCTAATCCTCCACCTGCGGCGCTGGCACACCGGATTCTAGTCCCTATTTGGGTGCTGGATTCTGTCCCGGTTGCCCTTCTTCCAGTCCAGCTCTCTGCTGTGGCCCAGGAGTGCAGTGGAGGATGGCCCAAGTGCTTGGGCCCTGCACCCGCATAGGAGACCAGGAGAAGCACCTGGCTCCTGGCTTGGATCGGCGCAGCACGCCAGCTGCAGCAGTCACTTGGGGGGTGAACCAATGGAAAAGGAAGACCTTTCTCTCTGTCTCTTTCTCACTAACTCTGCCTGTCAAAAAAAAGGGGGGGGGGGGCTGGAGCTTTTTTTGTGTGAATAGAAAAAAATAAAAGAAGCCCTTATGGAATGGGAGAAAATATTTGTAAATCACATGTCTGGGAATAGACAGGTAGCTAGAATACAGAAAAAATTCTTATGACTCAATCATAAGAGGAAATAACCCACCTTTTAAATTTAGAAAGTGAGCTGAACAGATATTTATCCAAATAAGACCTGCAAGTGACCAATAAATACACAAAACATGCTTAATATCATCACTCATCAGGATGCCACTTCATACCCACTAGGATGACTGTGACCAAAAAGCCAGACAGTGAGCAGTGCGGACAAGGACACGGAGAGCGCGGAGCCTTCGTGCCCTGCTGGGAGGAATGTATGATGTTGCAGCCACTTAGGAAAATTCGTCAGTGGTGGGGCTGTCGGGTGCCCCCAGTGAAGCAGCCTCCTGCAACATCAGCATCACATATCAGAGCACCAGCTCAAGTCTCAGCTGCTGCACTTCTGGTCTAACTCCCACTTAACGCGCTGGGAAAAGCAGCAGAAGACCGCCTAAATATATAAGTCCTGCCACCCATGAGGGAGACCCGGATGGAGTCCAGGCCTGGCTCCTGGCTGCAGCAAAGCCCAGCCCTGGCTGTTGCATCCATCTGGGGAGTGAACCAGCAGCTGGAAGATCTCTTTTTCTCTCTCACTCCCTCTCTCACTGTCACTCTGCTTTTCAAATAAACCAAGAAATCTTTAAGAAATAGTTTAGTGGTTTCTTACAAAGTTAGGTGATCATTTACTCCAATAATCCTGCTCCTAGCTATATACCCAAGAGAGGTGAAAACATACATGCACACAAAAACTAGTACAAAAATGTCTGTAGTGGCATTATTTATAATAACCAAATCTGGAAACAACTCAAATAAAATGAGAAGTCATCCAGGCCAAATGACACATAGATAAATAAGACATGCATATCCATATACCATATACCAGCCTTACAAAGTACACACTGACAATTGCTATAACAGCTGAAAACATTATATAAAGTGAAAGAAGCCAGTCATCACAGACCATCTATTATGTGATTCAATTTATATGAAATATCCAAACAATAAAATCCATAAAGACAGAAAGCAGATTTGTGACTGCTTAGGGCTGGAGAGGATTGGGGCAGTGTAGGTGGCGAGAGCTAAAATTTCTTTAGGAAGCAATGAAAATGTGTGTTTTTTTTTTGTTTGTTTTTGTTTTTTTTTTGTTTGTTTGTTTTTTGACAAGCAGAGTGGACAGTGAGTGAGAGGGAGAGCAAGAGAGAAAGGCCTTCCTTGCCCGTTGGTTCACCCTCCAATGGCCACTGTGGCCCGGCGTGCTGCGGCCAGCACACAGCACTGATCCGAAGGCAGGAGCCAGGTGCTTTTCCTGGTCTCCGATGTGGGTGCAGGGCCCAAGCACTTGGGCCATCCTCCACTGCACTCCTGGGCCACAGCAGAGAGCTGGCCTGGAAGAGGGGCAACTGGGACAGAATCCAGTGCCCCGACCGGGACTAGAACCCAGTGTGCCAGCGCCGCAGGTGGAGGATTAGCCTATTGAACCATGGCGTCAGCCAGGAAGTAATGAAAATGTCTTAAACTTGACCGTGGTGATTATTGGATCTTATTATGAGTGTACTGAAAACTGTTGTATTATACACTCCAGACAGACAAATTGTTTATAACTCACAGGCATGTGCATTGTATCTCAGTGAAACTGTCAGCCATAATTACCACCACAATGGCAGCTCTGTGCTGGGAGTTTCCAAGGATTCTGGAGGCTGCAGGCTGTTAATCCAGCATTTCCAAAAGCAGGCACCAAGTGGGAGTAGTCATGCAAGAATTTTAAGAGGGGGAAACACCTGTATGTCTAGACTATTAGCAAGCCCTCCTTAGCGGCCGGCACCGTGGCTCACTAGGCTAATCCTCCACCTGCGGTGCCGGTACCCTGGGGTTCTAGTCCCGGTCAGGGCGCCGGATTCTGTCCCAGTTGCTCCTCTTCCAGTCCAGCTCTCTGCTGTGGCCCAGAAAGGCAGTGGAGGATGGCCCAGGTCCTTGGGCCCTGCACCCGCATGGGAGACCAGGAGAAGCACCTGGCTCCTGGCTTTGGATCAGCACCGTGCGCCGGCCGCAGCAGTCACTTGGGGGGTGAACCAATGGAAAAGGAAGACCTTTCTCTCTGTCTCTCTCACTGTCTAACTCTGCCTTCAAGAAAAAGAAAACCTTCCTTATCTAAGATTTATTTATTTATTTATGTATTTGATAGCTGGGAGGAGAAGGGGAGGGAAACAAATTTTCCATCCACTGATTCACTCCCCAAATTCCCACAACAGCCAGGGCTTGGCCAGGTCAAAGCCAAGAACCAGGAACTCCATCCTGGTCTCCCACATGGGTGGCAGCGCCCCAAGTATTTGGGCCATCATCTGCTGCCTTCCCCAGCACATTAGCAGGGAGCTGGATTGGAAGCAGAGCAGCTGGGACTTGAACTGGCACTCTGATATGGAAAACTGGTGTCACAAGCAGAGGTTTAAACTGCCGTACCATAATGCTGGCCACAAAAGCTTTCTTTTCCTAATATATATATATATATAATTATATATAAATAATAAAAATGTTTATAATTTTATATAAATATGATAAAAATATATAATTCCTTATATACATATAAAATTTATTTAAGAGGCAGAGAGACAGAGATTGAAAAGGACAAGCAAACAGACAGCAGAGAGAGGGAGAAAGAGAACTCCTATCTACTCATTCACTCCCCAAATGCCCACAATGGCTGAGGTTGAGCTGGGATCAGATCCAGAAGCTGAAAATTTAATCCAGGTCTCTCATGTGGGTGACAAGGACCAAATTATGTGAGTTATCATACACTGCCTCCCAGGAAGCTGGAGTTAGGAGCCAGAGCTGGGAACTGAACCCATGTACTCTGATGTAGGATGCAGGCAAATACCCATCCTGACAAACCTCTATTTACAGTGGTTCAAAGTGAATCACGGCCAGCGCTGAGGCTCACTAGGCTAATCCTCCGCCTTGCGGCGCCGGCACACCAGGTTCTAGTCCCGGTCGGGGCGCTGGATTCTGTCCCGGTTGCCCCTCTTCCAGGCCAGCTCTCTGCTGTGGCCTGGGAGTGCAGTGGAGGATGGCCCAGGTCCTTGGGTCCTGCATCGGCATGGGAGACCAGGAGAAGCACCTGACTCCTGGCTTTGGATCAGCGTGGTACGCCGGCCACAGCGGCCATTGGGGGGTGAACCAACAGCAAAGGAAGACCTTTCTCTCTCTCTCTCTCTCTCTCTCTCTCTCTCACTGTCCACTCTGCCTGTAAAAAAAAAAAAAAAAGTGAATCACTCAGATGATTTTTTTTAAGTGAATGAGTAGATCCCAATGTTATGACCGTCTACTTCAATGATGTCCGTCTACTTCAATGATGTCCTCAGGAACTGATGTCCCCCCGCCTCATTTGTGTTCCAGGACCATCCTGGAAGGATCCTCTTGAACAAAGGTGCTTCCCTGGGCTTCCAGAATCACCATGGAGGAGGATGCTGGAGAGGAACCAGGGCTCGGCAGGTGCACGGCTCCCACAGACTTCCACTTCTATCACATGGATCTGTACGACTCTGACAGCAGGCTGCAGGTCCTCCCGGAAGAAAGCACTGGAGTGAGGAGAGAGGCAGTCCAGGCTGAAAGGACCTACGAGCCAAGAGGGGCGAGGGAGGGGCAGGCCCACAGAGCCCTTCACGAGGAAGCGGACGAACTCGTCCATCTGTATGGACTTGAAGATGATCACGAGTTAGGGGACGAGATTATGGATGAAGACACGCCCAGACTGGGGACCGCAGAATATCCTCCTTATGGGGTGAAGAGGGGCGACCCGGCCTGGGAGCAGCGGGACTGGAGACTCGGCGGAGAGGCAGCCGAGGCCGAGGACCTGGGCTTCGGAGGGTGGGGCTCCAGGGGCCAGTGCCAAGACTTGCGGGAGGCCTATCGGTACACTCACGGCCGTGCCAGTGAGGAGTACGAATGCTACGTCATCCCAGAGGAGGAGGATGAGGAAGAAGCTGCCGACGTCTTCTGCGTCACTTGCAAAATCCCCGTAAGAGCTGTTGAGAACCTTGATGCACACAAGGAGCACGAAGTGACCCCACTCAACCAAGCGCTGGAAAGCGCCAAGGTACGAGTCTCTCTGTCTTGATCTTGCCTTTGTATCCCAAGTGTGTAGGCATGAAATACATCTAAAATGCCTCCTCCAAAAGAGAGAGGGAGCAAAGCTGCGGCATTCACACCTTCTTTGCGACCCTCTGTTGGACAGGATGAAATTCACAAAAACATGTACAAACTGGAAAAGCAGATTATCGACATGGAAAACTTCGCAAGTCATTTGGAGGAGGTCTTCATCACCGTGGAGGTAAGAGCACCCTTGGAGACCCCCGTCAGATGCCCGTGGCTTCCGGCCGTGGCTGGGCCAAGCAGCTACCTCTGGCTTGAGGAGAATCTGTTTGCTTAGAATGCGAGGTGTTGGCGCTGCCCTTCTTCCCACCCCTTCCTCTGACCCCAGGGAGCAAGCTTCCCATCAGCAGATAGCGTGGACTTCTGGCTCCCTCAGTGGGCAGGCTGGGCTTCCATCTTCAAATCCCATCACAGTGGGCGTTTTAAACACGTTTGCTACATACAGAAACTTTCCGATCACTGTGCTTCCCCGTCACCGACTCCTTGCCCCGTGCCCCAAATCACCAATTATACGTGGTTTAGACCTTCTTCGAGCAAAGTTGACTTCATTCAAAGGTGATCATCCAATGTGATGTGATCATCAAATGACATCATCAAGGGTGATGTCATTCAGGGGAAGCTCCTCATTTGAGCTCTGGTTTTCCCCGCCTTGGTTTTTTGTTTGTTCATTTGCATTGGCTCCTGCCCCCCATCCTCCAACTTGTCTTTTTTGGTTGTTGTTGCTTGTCTTGCAGCCTGCGAGTCCCTCAGATGGTATCTGGTAGTCAGAGACGGTGGATCCCCTGTGGTTCCCTTCTTCTTTGGGGTTGTTAATTCTAGGTCTCCAGAGGCACCTATAATGCTGATGACGTGAAGGCTGGTGTGGGCTTGGTTGTTTTCAGAGGCAAAATGCCCACTTCTGCCAGCAATTGCTACTCAAACACAGACACACTTTTAACCTTGCAGTGCACGGGTTTGAAAAATCAGCTGATGTGTTGTCTTTGTCTAGTTAGGGATTTCTAGACTTTCCTGAGAGATCAGTAAGGAGCGTGGAGGAGACTTTGCACCCTTTTGGGGCCTCTCTCACTGCCTGTCCTGACACAGGGAAGAATGCAGGCCCTTGATGCAGAGACCAAGGCCGCTGAGATAACAGGTGCTTCTCTGAACCTCCTGCCCATTGGCCCCAGGAGAGGAGAAAAAGGCCAAGTGTTTAGCCTTGTAGTTGAGACATCTGCAAGCCCCACCGGAGCGCCTGGTTTGACCCCTGACTCTGGCCCCTGATTCCAGCTCCCTGCAAATGCACATCCTGGGAGACAGCAGTGATGGCTCAAGTAATGGGGCTCCTGCCACCTACATGGGAGACCTGGATGGAGTTCCCGGCTCATGGCTTTTGGCCTGGCCATTGCAGGCATTGTGGGGAGTGAACTAGCAGATGAGAACTAGTCATCTGTGGACGGTGCAGAGAAGGTCCCAGCCCTTTCTCCTCCAAACACGGGCGGTGGGAGTAGGGGGTGGACAACAGCCAGGACAGTCCTGCCGGCTCACGCTCAGGTCACCACATCTTCATCGTTTTATACTCAGCACTGGGGAGTCATCTATCGCTTTCCCCTCTCTCTGAGAAAGTTCCATGCACACAACAGGTGCGCAGTAATTACCCCCAGAATGACGGATAAGCACCTCTTCTTTGGAGATGTCCCCATCATCTGATGAGAATGACATCAATCAGAACCCACCTAGCTCTCTGGGGCCTCCAGTGTAAGTAGTGGGGACCAGGAGTCATTACGTTCTCTCTACTTCCTGTCTCACACCTATGAGGCTCTCGAGTTAAGTAAGAGCAGAAGCCCCCTGTGCCCTTCCGCATTTTCTCATCTGAGAGCCACCCAGCTGCAACCCTTGTTCCCCTTTTCCCTCATCTCTCCCCTCGCTGTTGGGTTGGGGAAATCCTGGTGCTTCCTTAACGCAAGCATCAGAGAGTGCAGATGAGCATCATGAGATGTCGGGAGCTCAGAGAAAACATTTCCGCCTTGAGGTCCCGGGTCCAGGCTGACTCATCGCTGATCAGCTCCCTGGTCGGTTGTCATGGTGACAGGAGATGGCTAAAGCAGGCCGGGAGACAGAAAGGCGTGCTTTCTGTCAAGATTATCCGTGGTGTTCCAGCTGGAGACCGCTGTGTCCTGGCTCCCCCAGTGCCCGCCCACCCCCATCCTGCGAGAACTGGTAAGACAAAGCCAGGGGACTGAAACAGCCCTGGGCAGATCCATCTCAGGTCCCCAGAGGAAGGGGTGACCCAGGCCAACTGTCTTGCAGGAGAATTTCGGAAGACAAGAACAAAACTTTGAGTCGCACTACAACGAGATCTTGGAAACACTCGCGCAAAAATATGAAGAAAAAATACAAGCTCTGGGGCAGAAGAAGAAGGAGAAGCTGGAAGCCTTGTACGAGCAGCTGGTCAGCTGCGGGGAGAACCTTGACACCTGTAAGGAACTGATGGAAACCATCGAGGAGATGTGCCACGAGGAGAAGGTGGATTTCCTAAAGGTCAGTGACGAAAGGGAGGGAGAGAAATGAAACCGTGAGTGGAAAGCAGTTATGGCTGGGGTAGGGGGGCCGTCCGCTCTCCACCGACAGGTGTCAGAGTGGACGCTGCTCATGTCGGAGGGATCGCTGCCCCATCTCTCTGCGTAGCTTTGCAGCAAGTCAGACACAGCCGACTGCGCGTCTGTCCGCATTGTTGAGGTAGCATCAGCGTTTGTTCTTCTACTACCCGGAGACCTGCGCCCTCTTCCCGGGGCTGAGCAGAAATAGTGCCTTGAGGGTTTTCTGGGCACCGCTGAAGGTTTCTTGGAGCTCCGGGGAGCAAACTGTCCAGGCTACAATAAAGTCACCTGAGACGTGCTGGTTACCAAGGTAGCCATGATCAATCTTACTTCATCAACTCACACAGGCATGTCAACCCGAATTCCATTTCTCTGGACAGGCATTGGGCGCAGTGGTTAAAATGCCACTTGGAGCACCCACATCCCTTATCAGAGTGGTTGGTTCCAGCCTAGGCGCCTCTGCTTCTGGTCCAGCTTCTTACTGATGTGAACCCTAGAAGGCAGCAGGTGATGGCTCAAGTACTTGGGTCCCTGCCATCCATGTCGGAGACCTGGACTGAGTTCCTGGCTCCTGGCTTCAGTCTGGCTCAGCCCTAGCTAGTTTGGGCATGTGGGGAAAAAACAAAACTGGTATATGGAAGCTCATTCTCTCTCTCTCTCTCTCTCTCTCTCTCTCTCTCTCTCTTTCTCTCCCTCCCCCCTCCCCCTCCCTTCCTTCTATCCCCTCTCTCTCTCTCGCTCTCTCTCTCTTTCTCGCTCTCTCTTGCTCTCTCACTCTCGCTCTCGCTCTCTCACTCACTCTGCCTTTCAAATGAATAAATAAACTGTAAAAAAAAAAAAGAAATCAAATTGAACTGGACTCAAGCCCCCTCCAGCTGGGCTGGGGAGTTTCAGTCTCAGAGCTGGGCCCTCTCGTCACAAGGCCCCACAGGAGTATGGGGGAGACGTGGTATCCCGTATAGGGGAGGGGTCTTCAGCCTCCAGAAGCTTCCTGGCTGCCAAGCGTGGACCCCACCTTACCCAGGCCCACAGGTGCCCCATGAAGCCCCCGTGCCTCCTTCCCGGCGCGTGGGGGCAAGGGCCCCAGGGCTAACACTGGAGGACAACCTGGCACCAGGAGAGGCCCCCACATGCAGACGGCTTCAACCAGAGGCCCTGTGGAGCCACTGGGTCCTGAGGACAGACCCCAGAATGCAGAGAAAGGGACACTCAGGGAGATGTTCTCACCGAGAAACGACCACCACCAGGGCACCCATTAAGCCACTGAAGGCTTTTCCGTTCTGGGAGCTGCTTGCAATCTTTGTAATCAGGGGCCCAGCTTGTAACACAGACAGGGCTTGCAGACGTGGGGAACCTCTTTCCTGCCAAGATCCATTTGCGTATTGACAGCCGCATCTGCGGGCCAGACAAAATTCTCAACTTAAAACCGAGCCCGCTATAGGTCGATTGCATTTCCAGTCCGGCCTGTGCTTGCCTTGGCAGGGCCAGACCCAGTGATTTCACAGCTTTCTGTGGTCCATGGACTGGATGTTCTCTGCCCCGAGTGCTGATGGGAAAAAACCAGCGGCATGGAAGAAAAGGCAGAGGCATGGAGAAAGCAACTAATGATTACTGTTCCCTTTTCCTAACTTCCAAGTCTAAAAATACATTGAGATGATTTCCTACTTTGAAAAAACAATCCGTTTCCAAAGCGAGTGTAATCTTTTCTCCTTTTCCTCCCTAGGACGCAGTGGCCATGGCCGACAGGTAAGCCGTGCATTCTGGCTGCTGCTTCCTTCGGCTCTAGAGAGCCAAATTGACCCAGCTCCTCTTGGTCAAAGGCTTCCGGTTCGGCTTCTGTCTCTGATCCTAAGAGTAAAATAGCACTGGCTTCGGAGTGTCGGCGAGGGGACACAAGGACCCCCAGTACTGAAGCTCAGTGTTCAGGGCTGGAGGGGACTGTGCCCGATGAGGCCTGAGGGTAGACCCCCTCGTTAGCCAGGCCCCGGCCTAGCAGCTGCAGAAGGTGCGCATTTCAGAGTCAGGCGCTCAGAGGCTCGATTCCCGCTACCCCCGAGAGCCTGGGGAAGCCCAGCTGACCTAGGACCCTCCTTCCTAACAGACAAACAAGGATGGGTTTGTGATAACCAGATAAGACGGTGTCTATATCCAGCAACAGGAGCACAGGAGCTTAATCAAGTAAGGGTTACGTGCAGGGGTTTTGGCAAAGCCAGACCTGGTTTCAGATTCTGCCTCTGCCATTTACAAACCCTGCGGCTGCCAGGAGGCAGGTGCAGGAGGACGAAAAGGACCACAGTCAGCAGCTCGAGGGCACTCGGCCGTGGGAGCAGGAAGCCCCCTAGGAAGTCTGAATCCTCTGTACACCACAGGGCCCAGCATGGCGTGGGAAGGGGGCCTCCAGGCTAGCTCGTGGGAGATCTTCCAGGAGGTGTGGTTCCGGATCTCACTGGCAGGTGCCCCACGCCACCTTCTGATGGGACCTGCCCCTTTCTCCTCGCCCGTAAAGGCACAGGCTAATCCCACCCATCCCGCTGGTGAGCCCCTCGGTCAGTCACTGAAGCAGCTAGCAGAAGGCAGCCAGAGCATGTCCCACTACAGGGAAGGAAGTTCAGCATGTCCCCAGTGAGAGACCCAGGACGAGAATCACCCTAAGGAGGTTAGGCCTCCATTCTTGTTCGTGTGTGTTTAAGAGGGCACACTTGGGGCCTACACTGTGGCATAGTAGGCTAAGCCTCCGCCTGTGGCGCTGGCATCCCATATGGGTGCCAGTTCCTGTCCCAGCTGCTTCTCTTCTGATCCAGCTCTCTCCTAATGGGCTGGGAAAGCAGTGGAAGATGGCCCATGTACCCCTGAACCCACGTGGGAGACCTGGAGGAAGCTCTTGGCTCCTGATTTTGGATCAGCCCAGCTCTTGCCATTGCAGCCACTTGGGAAGTGAACCGGCGGATGGAAGACCTTTTTGTATCTCCCTCTCTAACTCTGCATCTCAGATAAATAAATAAAATCTTAAAAAAAAAAAAAAAAAAGAGGGCACTCTTATCTGCTGGCTCACTCCTCAGATACCTACAATGGCTGGGACTGGGCAGAGGCCTGAGTGAGGGACTTGAAAACTCAATCCAGGTCTCCCACGTGGATGGCAGGGGCCCAACCACTTGAGGCATCATCTGCTGCCTCCCAGGTCTGCATTAGCAGGGAGCTGGGATTGGGAGCAGAACCAGGCACCCCAATATGGGACGCAGTGTCTTAACTGCTGGGTCAGGCACAAACCCCAACACGTGTGCTCATACCAACAGACTCGGGCAGTTCCTGAAAACAAAAACAGATGTGGAAATCTCTGCACAGCCCGACTTTGAAGAGCAGACCTTGGACTTCTCGGACGTGGAAGAGCTGATGGGCTCCATTAACAGCATTCCAGGTGGGCCTCTCACCCACGCCCACTGCACGCCAGCGCGGATTCCCCGGGGCTTCCGCCTTGTGCTTTTGCATTTTTGTGGTAGGAACGTGCACCGCGCGCGCTCTCTCTCTCTCTCTCTCCATCTTAAAGTGCACACTCTGTCTTGCTAGCTGTGGGGCCGACCTTGTGGGGCGCACCTCCAGGTCCCGGTCGTCTCACCTAACGGAATCCGCAACCACTGAGACCAGCTCCCCAGCTCCTCCCCTCCCCACGTGACCGCTCGGCTCTCTGCCTCTGTGCACTTCTTCTAAGTGGAATCAGGCGGTATTTATCCTTCTGTGATTGGCTTATTGCAGTCAGCATTATACCCTCCAGCCTCATCCGTTTTCATAAATGGTGGGACTTCTTTCTTTTTTAAGGCTGGATAGTACTTTTCACGATAGATAGATCACATTCCCTTTATCCACTCTTCTACTGACAGACACTTAGATTATCTTCATACTGTGGCTACTGTGAAAAATGCTACAGTGGACGTGGGTGTACAGGTATCTCTTTGTTTTCCATGTTGGCTATATCATTCCACATTCCCACCAACAGAATACGAGGGTTGCAGTTCTCTGCATCTTCATCAATACTTGTTACTTTTGCTTTTTGATAATAGCTATCCGAGTAGGTGTGGGGTGATATGCCACTCTGCTTTTGAGCTGCCTTTCCTTGATGATTCGTGAGGTTGAGCACTGTTTCATATGCTTACTGGCCATTTGTGTGTCCTCTCTGGAGAAATGGCTATTCTAGTTCTTTGCTCATTTTTAGTTGGGTTGTTTGGATTTTTTGGTTGGTGGTGGTGTTTTGGGGAGTGGATTTTGTTTTTGCTGCTAAGTTGCAGGAGATTCTGATACACTTTGCATATCAGTCTCTTTTCAGTGAAAAGGTTTGAAGATATTTTCTTTAGCTTTATAGTTTTTCTCTTTGTTCTATCGATGGCTTCCTTTGCCTTTTTTTTTTTTTTTTTTTTTTGCTTTTTGCCTGTGATTTGATGTCACATCCAAGAAATCTTTCCAAGACCAATTTCAAGAATTTTTTTATAGTTGAAAGTCTGACATTTAAATCTATACAGTGTAGTTCATTTCTGTGTATGGTTTAAGATCGGGTCAGATTTCATGCTTTTCATATAGAGATCCAGTTCCCTAATCCCATGTGTCAACAGAGAATATCCTTTCCCATTGAATGTTCTCGACTCCTTTCTCAAGATCAGTTGATTTATGCATGATTCATGAGCCTAAATTTATCAGAAGGAAGGAAATGGTAAAGCCTACACAAGAAATAAATTGAGACTTGAAAATAATAGACAAAAAAGACAAAAAAGAGTTGGTTCTTCAAGAAGATAAACAAAACAGACAAACCTTTAGCTAGACTAAGAAAAGAAAGGAGACTCTGATAAAAGTAGAAATGAAAGAGGAGATATTACAACTGGTGTCACAGAAATGCAAAGGCTCCTGAGGCAACACAGTGAACAAACTGGATAACACAGAAGCAATGGATAAACTCCGAGGAACATACAATCTGCGTAGACGGATTCATAAAGAAATTGAAAATACGAGCAGACACTAATGAGTAAAGAGATTGGAGCAGTAATAAAAATTCTCACCGAAGAAAAGCCGAGGGCCAGGTGACTTCACTCACGAGTTCTACCAGAACCCAAAGGAATCAAACGCTCCCCAAAAATTGAAGAGGAAAGGACATTCCCAAATTTATTTCATGAGGCCAGCATTATACTGTGATACGAAAGCCACACAAAGACACTATGAGGAACAAAACTTTCAGACCAAATAGATGCAAAATCTTCCAAAAATTATAGCAAATTAAACAATGCATTAAAAGGATTATATACCATGGCCAGGTGGGATTTAACCCTGGGATGCAAGGATGGTTCAATGTATGTGAATCAATAAATGAGACACACCACATTCAACAGAAAGAAGGAGAAAAATCATCAGCAGACGCAGAAAAAGCATCTGATGAAATTCAACACAGCTCAACAACGTGGGTACAAAGGAATGTACTTCAACATAATACAGGCCTTATATGACAAGCTTTGTGACCCTGGGTGATCTATAAAATCTCGCTGAGTCGGCATCTTCATCTGATGAATGGACACCATAATGCTTCGTGGGGATATGGTAAGAGTTAAATAAATAATGTGTGTACAGCACGTTACATGGGGCCAATCACTTATTGGAGGATAATAATAGAATTCAGCTTTGTTTGCTCACTTTCCCTTTCTCATCAATACTCAACAACATGATGAACGATACTGTATGTATCAATTTAGGTTTTTCCTTGAGCAGATTTTTTTTCAGAAAAATGAAATTATTCTGGGTGTTCTTTTTTGTTAAAAAAAAAAAAACAGAGAGAGAGATCTTCTATCTGATGATCTTCTCAGATGCACCCAAATGGGCGAGGCTGAACCGGAGCCCGTAACTCCATCCAGGTCCTCCACATGGGTGGTGGGGATCCCCACTCCTTGAGCTATCACCTGCTACTTCCTGAGGTATGCATTAGCAACAAACCGGACTTGGCAGTGGAGCCAGGACTGAAATCCAAGCATGCAGATGTGGTATGCAGGCATCCCAAGTGGTGTCTTAACTTTTGCACCAAACGCCTGCCCCATTCTGTTTTGTGATCTGTTTTTTTTTTTATTCCCCTTAGCTAAACAAGTGTGATGATTATTTTCTGTCACTGTTAAATTCTACATCATTTTAATGGCTATATACCTTAATTTGTTTAACTAATGCTCAATTATTAAATCAAGTGAAATTTCTATGGTTTTTTTTTTTTTTTTTTTTTTTTTTTTTTTGGCCATCATAAACCACACTGTAAGGAACATCTTTAATCACAAGTCGTAAAAGCCATTCTTGGGATCACTGGGTCAAGGGGAGACTTCACTGAGCTCGACGCCCATTGGATGATTCTGTTTCCCTTTTTTTTTTTTTTTTAATTTTTTTTTTTTTGACAGGCAGAGTGGACAGTGAGAGAGACAGACAGACAGAAAGGTCTTCCTTTGCCGTTGGTTCACCCTCCAATGGCTGGCGCACCGCACTGATCCAAAGGCAGGAGCCAGGTACTTCTCCTGGTCTCCCATGGGGTGCAGGGCCCAAGGACTTGGGCCATCCTCCACTGCACTCCCGGGCCACAGCAGAGAGCTGGCCTGGAAGAGGGGCAACCAGGATAGAATCCGGTGCCCCGACCAGGACTAGAACCCGGTGTGCCGGCGCCGCAAGGCGGAGGATTAGCCTAGTGAGCCGTGGCTCCGGCCCTGTTTCCCTTTTAAGGGTGGAGTTGCCCTAATAATACGGTGCCTGTCGTTCGGAAGGAAATGCACAGACACCCAAGGCCGTGCTTGAGAAGCGCTGACACTTGTCTTCAGCCTCCCGCGTTCGGGTCCCACGCAGGCCTCTGGTGCCTCCCGAGTCGGGAAAGCTCCCCCAACCATCCCTCCTTGTATTCTCAGCGGCTCGACACTTAGAACAAATGCCTGCGAGGAGCTACACAGGAAGGAGGTTTACCGGGACCCGTGGCTTTGGAGACGCATAGTCCAAGATCAGCTGGCCCACTCACCTGCTATCTGGTGAGGGTGGGGCTGGCCATGGCAGAGCAGGTGTGGAGGGACAATCGCTCGGGGAGCTGGGCAGCAGAGACAAGAGCTGGGCCCTGGTAGCCTTCATAACCTCCTGAGCACTATCTTCCAAAGGCACACCCCACTGACGCGAAGTCATCCCATTGGGTCCGGCTCTTAGACACCACAAATGTATCAAATCTGCACCCTTAATCCACTAACCATTAACTTTGGGGACCAAGCCTTCAACACATGGGCTTGGGGGACACCCAGACTATGATGCAACCCTGAGACTCCTCTTAGGCTGCACTTTGGAGTGGAGCTGCTCTTGACCATACCGACAAGGGCGTCTGTGAGCCCTAGACTTGGTCGTCGGGGAGGGGATGGGCTCTCTGCCTTCCTCCCCTCTGTCACATTCCGGTCTTCCAGGCCCTCACCAGAAAGGGGAGGATGGAGTCTTCTAAGTTCAGCGTTCTCTTTCTCGGATCAACTTCAAGCTTTGAAACTAAGGATGCTTTTGAGAGTGCTACCATGGGAGAAGAAATTATGGAGGAAAAATCCCTCTTGTCTTCCTGCTGGGTTGTATGGGAGGTGGTGTGGAGGTGGAGGAGGCAGGAGCAGGGATTGCAGAGAAGAGAAGAATCACCCAAGCAGATGGACTCTGAAGCAGCTGGTTCTGGAAGGCAGAGGTTGACCACCCCACCTCCTCTCACGGTTCACCCACAGTCAGAGCAGGGCCTCCGTGCTGAGGACGCCTTTGTCCCTGTCCACTCCGAGGCTGGGAAGCAGTGCTGGGCTCCCGGCTGTCCTGCCCCTCCAGACGGCATTGAAGCACCAGGGGACCCCCAGACCGGGGGCAGTTGCTTGCAAACTGTATCCAGCCAGAGTGCCCATCACTGTTCCCTGTTCCCCAAACTCACTTGGCCAAGCAGGCATGGGTATACCAGTTGTTCTCACAGGCTCACGGTTGAGAAGCTTCGGCTCTGGTCTTTGTCTGCACCGGGCTGCCTTTTGCATTCCTAGAGGCATGGACGCACCGGGGGAGCCGTGGTCCTGTGCAATCCCCCTCACTCCTCGTTCTTTCTGCTGTTGCTCTTTCTTGCCATCCTCTAGCTCCTTCCGCTCCAGTGATCAATCCCCAGGCCCCCAACTCGGCCACGGGCTCCTCGGTCCGCGTGTGCTGGAGCTTGTACTCCGATGACACCGTGGAGAGCTACCAGCTGTCCTACAGGCCAGTAGGGGACGGCTCGCCCGGGAAGGACCAAGCAGGTGAGGCTCCGCCAGGAGCAGGCTGACACTCTGGAGGCTGGGCCCTGCCTTCCCGGCAGGGGGATGGCTCTGCCTGTGCAGCTTTCGTGACCTGGGGACCATGCAGACGATGGGAGGCAGGCGGCTGAGCATGGCAGAAAGATCTAGAAAGTTGGGGCCTGACTGGGGAGGAGCACGAGGCCAGGTTGGGGCGTCTGGAAGAATCCACAGCCATCAGGTCAGTTGGGCTCAGTTCCTGGCTGCAGTGTGTGCAAGAGGCCGCGGACACGGCTTGGTGAGCTGAGCTGGATTCTAGCTCATCCTGGCGAGTGAGAGTCGGGCTGGCTGTTCTCCCAGCAGCCCCAGGCTGCAGGAGAAACTGGAGGATTCCTTTGCAGACCCCAGGAGGGTGAGGAAGGCTGAAGAGCCCCCCCTCCAACCCGTGGGGCATCTGAAGGCGTCAGGAGGCATCAGGGCGTCACAGGGCCTGTCCCGTGTGCATGGTGCTGGAGTCAGACCATGGGAAGGGGACTTGGGGATGGCCATGGGATGGATGAGCAAACTGAGACCTGGAGAGAAACGAGCTGTCCGTGGGGATGCAGGGTGCGATGGCAGAAGCAGGCAGAATCAGGTGTGCCCAGCTCTTGGCCCAGAGCTCGCTCACTGGACCAGGAGAGCAGGACTTTAAGTGACGACAAGAGAGGGCCAGGAGCTCAGAGGAGGGGCAGCCCTTGATGGGCTTTGGCCACACGTGCTAGGGCCGTGATGTGGCCACGTGCGACGCTCTCCTAGGCAGACTGCTGCATCAGAAAGGAACCAACCTCAGCGGGGTACTAGTGTCAAGATTCCAGGGAGTTCGGTCTGGTCTCAGTAGCTTTGGCTACATCACAGGACTTCTCCCTGCCCCCCAGCTTAGTGGCTTAAAATAGCAAACATTTATTATTATTTTTTAACAAAATATTGATAGATTTATTTGAAAGGCAGAGAGAGAGGAAAGAGAGAGCTTCCATCCACCGATCCACTCCCTAAACGGCCACAACAGCTGCGGTTAGGCCAGGTCAAAGCCAGGACTCCATCTGGGTCTCCCACACCGGCGGCAAGCAGTCACGTAGCTGAGCCGTCATCCACTGCCTTCCCAAGCACTTGAGCAGGAAACAGGATCAGAAGTGGAGCAGCTGGGACTCAAACCAGGCGCTCCAGTATGGCACGTGGGCGCCCCCAAGCGGCAGCTTAGCCCGCTGCAGCACAGCGCCCGCCCCAGCTTGATTAATCCTTGTAATTGTGGGCACCAGAGGCACAGTTCTGGCCTGAGGTCTGGGATGGCCTGGGCGGCGGGGGCCTCTCTGCAGGCGGCGGCGCAGCCTCCGGGAGGCTGGCTCAGGCTCTTTCGCATGGGAGTGGGAGCGTTCCTGGCTGCAGGAGACAGGCCCGGGCAGCAGCAGTTTGCAGGCCTCTAAGGCTTGTGTCCTGGTTGCTGTTGGCTGGCACTAATCACGCAGCGAAGCCCAGCTTCAAGGGAGAGTGAGAAGGAGGGGCGCCATCCTCATGAGGATCAGCCAGGCACGCGTGTGGGGGTGGGGGGACCTTCAGCCGGTTCTGTAACCTGCCACCGTGGGATCCCACGCAATGTATTTGGAGCCACTTGTTCAATTTTTAGAGTTGACTTTTTAAAAATAAATAATTACTTATTATTATAATAACAGATTCTAGGCAGTCCATGGAATTTAATTCTGGTCTCTGTGTCCCCCTGCCCAGAGTTTACAGTGACTGTCAAGGAAACATACTGCTCAGTGAAGAACCTTATGCCCAACACCCAGTATGAATTCTGGGTCACAGCTCAGAACAGGGCTGGCTCGAGCCCCTCCAGCGAGCGTGCTGTGTACATGACAGGTAACGTGGCCACTTGTGTTCCGTCGCAGGCTCTGCTTGCAAGGGGACACAGCAGACACGGGCAGCTAAGTGTGGCGAGGCTCTTGGTTTCACTTTCTTATTTTTTTTTAAATGTTGATTTGTTTCTTTGAAAGGTAGAGTTAGAGAGAGAGAGAGAGAGAGAGAGAGAGAGAGAGAGAGAGGTTATCTTCCATCTGCTGGTTCACTCTCTCAGTGGCTACAACAGCCAGGGCTGGACCAGCTGAGGCCAGGAGCCTGGAACTCCATCCAGCTATCCCACATGGGTGCAGGGGCCCAAGCACTTGAACCATCTTCCACTGCTTCTCCAGGTACATTAGCAGAGAGCTGGATCAGAAGTGGAGCAGCCGGGATTCGAACCGGTGTCCATATGGGATGCTGGCACTGTAGGCCGGGGCTTTAACCCACTATGCCACAGCACCGGTCCCTTAAAATTTTTTTAAAAATTCATTTAGGAGATAGAGAAACAGAGCGAGATCCCCTCTACTGGTTCACTCCCCAGTTGCCCACCATGGCAGGGGCCAGGAGCTGGGAGCTCAGGCCAGGTCATCCTATGTGGGTGGCAAGGACCCAAGGACTTGAGCCACCACCTGCTGCCTCCCAGGGTCAGCGTTAGCAGGAAGGGGTCAGGAGCCGGAGCCAGGAGTTGAACCCGAGCACCGTGCTGTGGGCCGTGGGCACCTTGGCTGCTGGGAGCACCCACTTCCCTGGTGCTCTGGGTTGCACTGAGCCTCCCCGTGGCAAGCAAGGCGGGGTTGCGATGTTTGTCCTTTGAACAAAATGCCTGGAAACGAGCCCAGCCACTGTCCTCTCTCCCTTCTTCCTGCGGGCAGCCCCTTCTCCCCCCATCATAAAAAGCAAAGAGATACGGAGCTGCGAAGAGGCTGCGCTCATCTGCTGGGAGTCCGGGAGCCTGAACCCCGTGGACTCGTACACAGTGGAGCTGACCCAGGCGGAGGCGCCGCAAGCCTGGGGCGTCACAGAGTGAGTCGCGAGGGCAGCTTCGGGCAGTGGTTGGGGTCCCGGGAGGGTCGCGATGTGTGACACGCAGGGGTCCTCATTTCAGTGCTTCGCTTTCGTGCAAAGGAGCTGGCGTGCCGTCATCGGCGGTGAATGATAGCGGCCAGGAAGTGAACAGTCGGTTAAACCTGTGCTTGCCTTTTTTCTTTCTTTCTTTCTTTCTTTCTTTCTTTCTTTCTTTCTTTCTTTCTTTCTTTCTTTCTTTCTTTCTTTCTTTCTTTCTTTTCTTTCTTTCTTTCCTTCCTTCCTTCCTTCCTTTCTTTCCTTCCTTCCTTTCTTTCCTTCCTTCCTTCCTTCCTTCCTTCCTTCCTTTCCTTCCTTCCTTCCTTTCCTTCCTTCCTTCCTTTCCTTCCTTCCTTCCTTTCCTTCCTTCCTTTTTTCCTTCCTTCCTTCCTTTCCTTCCTTCCTTCCTTTCCTTCCTTCCTTCCTTTCCTTCCTTCCTTCCTTTCCTTCCTTCCTTCCTTTCCTTCCTTCCTTCCTTTCCTTCCTTCCTTCCTTTCCTTCCTTCCTTTCTTTCTTTCTTTCTTTCTTTCTTTCTTTCTTTCACCCAACTGAGGTTTCTCATTCATTTGTTCAGGTGGTGCCAGGTCGTGTGTGGAGCCCGGAGGAACTAACAAAGCTGACAGCCGGGGTGGGGGTGGGGGTGGGGGATAGCCAAAACAAGAAAAGCAGCCAGTGCCAGGGAGGAAAAGGATGGTGGAGGCGGGGACCTCCTTGGGTACAGGAGGATGCATGAGCTGAGACCCGGGTGACGGCAGGGACCGTGAGCTCCTCGTGCCACAGGGCCTTTGGACATGCTTCCCTCCCCCTCCCCTTTTTAAAAGATATTTATTTGAGAGGCAGAGTTACACAGAGAGAAGGAGAAGTCTCCCATCCGCTGGTTCACTTCCCAAATGGCCACAACATCTGGAGCTGGGCAGATCCAAAGCCAGGAGCCAGGAGCTTTTTCCAGGTCTCTCACGTGGTTGGCAGGGGCTCAGGTACTTGGGCCATCTTCTGCTGCTTTCCCAGGCCACAAGCAGAGAGCTAGATGGAAGAGGAGCATCCCGGACTCGAACCGGGGTCCATATGGGATGCCAGTGCCACAGGCAGAGGCTTTACCTGCTGTGCCACAGCGCCGGCCCCCAGGCTTCCCCTTTTAAGTAGGACACTCCTCATCCCCAGGCATTCTTCAGAGCTCAGCTCAAAAGCCCTCGGCACCCTGTCGTGCCCTCCGCGTCCCCTCCATGTCAGTCACCGTGGTCCATTCCTGCAGGTGACTGAGGCTCGCCTCCCTTCCCACGGAGGCCGTAAGGGCAAGGGGACGGTGTTTGGCCCTCTCAGGCCTGCTTATTGCGGTGCCGGCACCTAGCACGCTTCGTTAACAGCTGTGGAATGAGTAAGCAGAAGCGCTCCTCGGACCCAGCGCTGCGGCCTCCGAGATCCCCCGTGTGGGCCAGGGCGTCACCTCTGTAGATGGGCATCACCCCGAAGGCTCCTCTCGCTCGCTGGACCGAAACGGGGTCGGCAAAGGCAGGACTGCAGATGGCGGCCATCGCACACTTGTGTCTCTGGACAGCGCGATCTCAACAAGGGTTCTCAGATACACTCAGAACCTTCCAGGGGTGCTGGGAGCAGTGCTGCCGGCCCCGTCCTTGCAGAGGTCCTCACTGCCCCCCGCCACAGACTTGCTGCTGGCGTCTCCCGTGTGCAGCACTCCCGATGTGGCACTGGAAGATGCCAAGGTGCTGGGGGGGGGGGGGGTCCAGGGCAGGGGCTCGGAAGGGAGACCGTCAGGCACACAGGAGTACCGGTGGAGCCAAGTGGGGGGACGCCGAGGGGGGCTGACGCCCGGCTCTGCTGCAGATGACAGGCCCAGTATGGAAGGGGGTGTGTGGTGCTTGGGCTGGCTGGCGCACCCCTGCTGACCGTGGCTCTGCTTCCTCGCCCAGGTCCATCGTGGGCATCCCTACCTGCGAGGCCCTGGTGCAGCTGCAACCCAGGCAGAACTACACGATCTACGTGCGCGCCCTCAACGTCGGGGGCCCCAGCGCGAGGAGCGAGCCGGCTACGGTCCACACCACAGGTCTGTGTCCTGGGCCACACCCTCCCCAAGTGGCTCCTGGAAGTAACTGGAGTAACTGAATAAATGTGCATAGATCCGAACACATGGCGAGGCGCCCAGACGGGACTCGGGGTGACCAAATCCCCGTGGTCCCATTTCACAGATGGGGAGACTGAAGGCCGAGTCACATAGCAGACGCTGGGACTCCAGGATTTGCCCCGTGCCCCTCAGGTGGCCCACACATCTCCCACCTCCCACAGGCTGCGAGTGACCCTTGGGTCAGGGTCTTGTGAAATTCCCAGGAACAGCCATTGGCCTTGCTCACCTCTCCGCCGCTGCCATGAGCCCAGGCGTCCCTCCGCCCGCAAGCCCAGCTTCGAGCTGCGGCCCAGCCTCCTCCCGGCCCTTCCTCCTCCTATTTGCCATCATTCCTCGTGCCCAAGGCGTGGGTTAGCAGACCACCACCAGCAGCCTCCTGCTCGCCTTCTGTCCCAGCACCGCCATGGCTCCCCGAGGCCAGACAGCTCTTCCCACACCTCACGGAGCAAAGCCGGCTGTGGGTGTGACCAGCAGGTGAACAGTGGAGCAGGGAGCCCGTCCCTTACCTGGGACCTGGCACTGAGACCCAGTGTTGTCCTGTCCGCACTTCCCATACCAACAGGTGAGGTGTGTGATCAGGCCCCATTTACACTCCCTGCCACAGATGGGAGAAACGAGGGAAGTGGCCGCCCGTGGTCCCACTGCTGGCAAGGCTTTCACCAGGGTTAGGCCTCAGGCTATCTGGTGTGGGGCCGACCTTCAGGTGTTAGGCCCTTCTTTGTTCCTGTGCTGACTCAGCAGCTTAGAAACAGGGGGTCCTGGGGCCGGCACGGTAGGTTAAGCCTCCGCCTGCGGCACTGGCATCCCATATGAGCCCCAGTGTGTGTCCTGGCTGCTCCACTTCCAATCCAGTTCCCTGCTAATGTGCCTGGGAACGCAGTGGAAGATGGCCCAAGTGCTTGGGCCCCCATAGCCATGTGGGAGACCTGGAAGAAGCTCCTGGCTTTGGCCTGGCCCAGCCCTGGCCATTGCAGCCAATTGGGAGTGAACCAGCAGATGAAAGCGCGTGCTCTCTCTCTCTCTCACTCTCTTTCCTTCTTTTTATGTATCTGCCTTTCAAGTAAATAAATAAATCTTTAAAAAAATCTTTAAAAAAGATTTATTTATTTGAAAGTCAGTCAGAGTTACACAGAGAGAGAGGAGAGGCAGAGAGAAAGAGAGAGAGAGAGAGTTGTCTTCCATCTGCTGGTTCACTCCCCAGTTGGCTGCAATGGCCGGAGCTGCACTGACCTGAAGCCAGGAGCCAGGAGCTTCTTCCAGGTCTCCCACGTGGGTGCAGGGGCCCAGGGACTTGGGCCATCTTCCACTGCTTTTCCCAAGCACTTGGACCATCTTCCACTGCTTCTCCAGGTACATTAGCAGAGAGCTGGTTCAGAAGTGGAGCATCTGGGTCTCGAACCAGCGCCCATACAGGATGTTGGCACTGCATGTGGCGGCTTTACTCACTACACCACAGTGCTGGCCCCATAAATAAATCTTTTAAATATATAGAAACGTCGAATCCAGCTGTTTCGATAAAGGAGAGCACAGCGCAGAAGGAACAGCAGCTCCTAGTCACTTGTCTCTGAAATCATTTGCTCAAGTAATTTTTTAAAAGAGCGTCTTTGTGAAACACTGAAATGAATATGAATCAGCAAAAAACGGATACTCAGCCAGGATCCTTGTTTGGGATGAGAGGGCAGGCAGTAGGCCAGGGTCCTGCATGACGTGGGTGCCCCATCAGACGATTTTCTGGCAGCTTCAGATGGGGAAAATAATTGTGACACTGATGCTTGTACTGTTTTTAATTTTTACTGATGGCTTTTTATGTTACTCGAAAGGCAGAGTGACAGAGAGAGAGAGAGGGAGAGAGAGAGACATCTTCTATCTGTTGATTCACTCCCCAAATGGCAGCAATGGCTAGAGCTGGGCCAGGACAAAGCCAGGATCCGGAAGCTTCTTCTGGGTCTCCCACGTGGGTGCAGGGCCCAGGCACTTGGACCATCTTCTGCTGCCTTCCCAGGGAATTAGCAGGAAGCTGGACTGGAAGTGGAGCAGCCAGGATTCAAACCGGTGCCCATATGGGATACCAGGGTCACAGACAGCGGCCTCACCAGCACTGCTGCAACACTGGCTCCATGGGTTATCTTTTACCTAAAACTAAATCATCTTTATCAGGTCTCTTCATACCACTTGTTAATAGGATTTGTTGCAGCACAATTTGGGGAAGACCTTAAGCTCCTTCCTTCTCCCCCTCTGCCCTAACCACAGGTTCAATGTTGCACTTTGCTAACCTCTGTCAAACAGATGGTTAGGAATCCCCTCGAGCTCAGTTTCCCTTGACCTACCCTGGGCCACCTGCATACGCAGCCTGGAAGCTGAACACGGGGCCTCTGGCATCTGAGGCGCTTGGGCTTCACGTCTGAGTCCCGTCATTTACCAGCTGATTCCCTGACCAGCTGTGCCTGTTTGCTCAAATACAAGATGGGAGCAGCGCCATCTGTTTCTGAGAGCAAGTGTGAGGCCTGAAGGAGACTCGGACACTGCTCGGCCCAGTGCTGGGCACACAACTGCCCAGTGTGTAGCAAGTGCACCTTGTTCATAGGACGCTCATTACCCTACGAGCCCAGGCTCAGCTGTGTCCTAGTGACGCCGGGGCACCTGTGTGGAGCAGCAGGGACATGACTGCCGGGGAGGGGGCCTCCCATGTGTCCCTTCCCCACAGGAAGCTACTTCCACCTGAACAAGGACACCTGCCACCCCTGGCTGACCATTTCTGAAGACGGTTTTACAGTCATGCGAAGCGAAAGGAAAACCCCCATGAGGGAGCCACTGGCCAGCAACACTCGGTTTACCAGGTACTTTGTTTTGTTCTTGTTCTAAAGATCTAGTTTAGAGGCTGGTGTCGTGGTGTAGCAGGTTAAGCCGCAGCCTACATCGCCAGCATCCTCTGTGGGCACCGGTTTAAGTCCTGGCTGCTCCCTACTAATGCACCTGGGAAAAGCAGTGGAAGATGGCCCAACTGCTGGGGCCCCTGCACCCACAAGGGAGACCCAGTGGCGGTCTGGGCTCATGGCTTTGGCCTGGCCCAGCCATGGCCATTGCAGCCATTTGGGGAGTGAACCAATGGATAAAAGATCTCTCTCTCTCTCTCTCTCTGCCTTTCAAATAAAAATGGAATAAATATTTTTAAAAATATATTTATTTATTTGAAAAGCAGGGGGAACAAGACAAAGTGAGAGACAGAGAGAGAGCTTCCTCCATCTGTTGAAATGGCCTCAATGGCCAGGGCTGGGCCAGGCTGAAGCCAGGAGCCAGGCGCCAGGAAATCCATCCACGTCTCCCAAGCACTTGGGCCTCCTTCCATGGCTTTCCCAGGCACATTAGCAGGTAGCTGGACTGGAAGTAGAGCAGCCAGGACTTGAACAGCACTCCCAAGGGATGCCAGCATCACTGTGGCAGCTTAATCTGCTGTGCCAGTGCTGGTCCCTTACCAGGTACTTTACTGTCACTCGCTCAGTCTGCAAACCTCCCTCATTTACACTGGTGTTTGGGTAAAATCGGATTATGGCAAACAGAGGCAGCAGAGAAGTGGAGAGAAATCCTGAGAGTGAGGAGGAAGGGGCCTGGTGGACAGGGGAGCCAGAGGGCACAGGCAGAAGAGGCCCTTCACAGTCCCCAAGGAGGGTAGGCAAGAGATGGTAGAGCCCTGGGGTCAGCCGGCCAGGTGGTGGAAAAATAGAACAAGGTCCCAGGTCTCCCACACTGAGCCCAGGGCTCTTTCTCCAACTCCTGACGACAGCCTGGCCATGAGTGAACCTGTCCCACAGGTGCGGGAAAACCAGCCGTGCTCTCCCGTGTGTGAACTGAGAGGGGCCGCCCAAGGCACCGGCCTGTCTAGCTGCTGTTAGAGCTTGGGTCTCCATAGAAGTGGACACAATTCACCTACTCCTTCTTGCAAAGATGTAGAAAAGACTTAACATAAAGGACAAATATACAATCCTGAACTAGAAAAATCAAGGCAATGGAAGGAAAATAATACACTCAGGTTGACTTCAAAGGCTAATCCAGTTTGCAAGATTAAACTTGTTTTTAAAGATCTATTTATCTGAAAGGCAGAGTCAGAGAAAGAGAAAGAGACAGATTTCCATCCACTCCTTCAATTCACAAACAGCCACAACAGTCAGGGCTGAGCCAGGCCCAAACCAGGAGCCTAGAACTCTATCCAGGTCTCCCAGGTGGATGCAGGGGCCCAAACACTTGGCCCGTCTCCTGCTGCTTTCCCAGGTGCATTAGCAGGGAGAGCTGGATCGTTAGTAGTGCAGCAGGGACTGGAACCAGCAGCCATATGGGATGACAGGATCATAGGTGACAGCTTAACTCATTGTACCACAATGCCAGCCCCCAGGATTCAACTTTATTTTTTATTTATCTATTTGAAAGAGTCACACAGAGAAGGAGACACAGAAAGAGAGGTCTTCCATCTGCTGGTTCACTCCCCAGTTGGCCACAACAGCCGGAGCTGTGCCAATCCGATCCTAAGTCAGGAGCCAGGAGCCTCCTCCGGGTCTCCCACGTGGGGGCAGGGGCCCAACAACTAAGGCCGTCTTCCACTGCTTCCCCAGGCCACAGCAGAGAGCTGGATCAGAAGTGGAGCAATCATGACTTGAACCGGCGCCCATATGGGATGCCGGCACCACAGGCAGCAGCTTTACCCGCTACACCACAGTACCCGTCCCCAGGATTCAACTTTAAACGTGGCCTCTCAACTTCCTGGTAGCCAGGGCAAAAAAAAGTTCTTAATGGGTTGATTTTACAGGTGGAAGCATCTTCTTCTAAGGTAGGAAACGAGCTCTCTTCTGAGAGCTGGCAGGGCCATGGATGGAAAACAGCATCGGTGTCCATCCTGGGTCCTGGCTGGCCCTTCCTCTGGCCTTGTTACTGCAATGAGTTAGTATCCAGTACACCAAGGCGCTGGTGTGAAACTGCAGGGCACAGCGGAAATCAATCTCACCCTTTCCCCCTCTGCCCATTCAGCCCAGGACTTGGGGTGTGGAGCAAAGCTGGAAGCAAAACAAAGGTCTTAGAGCCGAGTGCCACCCATCTTCGAAGCCAGCCCTTTCTCCCGTGGGCACTGTCTCAGGCCCCACTGCCCGCCCCTCACCACCTGTCAGCCTGTGCATCCAACATCACGCCGCCCTCTTTCTGCGGGTGGGGGTGTCCTCAGCCCTGCCAGGATGCCCTCTTGGACAGGGTCCCCTCAGAAGCAACACAGAGGTGGCATCCTGCGCTGGGCTCCAGCCCCACAGGGCCTGCAGAAATCGGTGCCCTTCACCAGGTCACGGACGTCGCGCTTCTGTCACGGGAATCACAAGAAAGCTCTCTGGGCAGACACAGCCTCAAGCACCGTCACCTTCACCCGGTTGCTGATGCCCTGGAAGTTACAAAACCGACGTGTGGCCCCCTCCTTTGCGAGTTCTGCCCACGTGGTCCCACGCCTCCCCCAGCCTTGTGGTCGTGGCTTTCTGGGGTCCAGTGAAGCACAGCTAGTTCCACTTTAACATTCTGTCCCCCATAGCTCTGTTGCCAAACACTGTGTGGTGTGCTGTGGGTAGAGGGGACGGAGACCAATCTCTGCCCACACAGATGAGGAGTTAGCTACCATATAGCTGCCCCCCCCCAATCTTGTGTATGCATGCAGAACTTGGAGTTTTTTTTTTCTTTTTTTTTTTTTTTTTAAGATTTATTTATTTGAGAGGCAGAGTCAGAGAGAGAGAGAGAGAGAGAGGTTTTCCATCCATTTGTTCACGCCGCAATGGCTGGAGCTGGGCCTGATCTGAAGCCAGGAGCTTCTTCCAGGTCTCCCAGGTGGTTGCAGGGGGCCAAGCACCTGGTCCATCTTCCGCTGCTTTCCCAGGCCATTAGCAGAAAGCTGGATCAGAAAAGGAGCAGCTGGGATACAAACCAGTGCCCGTATGGGATGCCGGCACCGCAGGCGAAGGCTTAGCCTACTATGCTATAGTGCTGGCCCTAGAACTTGGGTGTTTTGAGAGCGAAGAAAAAGTTTTAATGGCAGCTGAACAGATCTTCCTAGGGATGTTGGGAGCCACGTAGTCTGGCTGTTGAAGGAGCTTCCGAAGGAGGCAGAGCATTCACCATGGAGAGGCCCACGTGATCCGATTCCCAATGAAGACCGTTCTCTGTTGGGCACACTGCTGTTACAGAACAAACAGAACTCCACCTTCGTCAGTATAGCAGTGGTCGCCGTGGGAGTCTGGAGGTAGATGTGGGTGATCTGTGAGGAATCTGCTGTCTTGCTCTTCTTGGGCTGACCTCTGAATTCTCACCTTCCACCTGGAGTCATCCTCAATGCAGGGCTTTCCTCCAGACCCTCCATGTTGGTTCTGTACCAAAGCAAGGAAGGGCTGGCCAGTCTGTGAACCTTAAGCCCGTGGTTCCCTTGACTCTGCCGCCTTATGTGAGTTTCCAGTCCTCCCCCGCCCCCCACCTTTCTAAAGAACAAGGGGCTGGCGTTGTGGCACAGCCAGTAAAGCTGCCAGCTGTGATGCTGACATCCCTTGTGGGTGCTGGTGTGAGCTCATTAGCTCCTTCCTAATGCCCTGGGAAGAGCAGTGGAGGATGGCCCAAGTGTTTGGGCCCCTGCGCCCACATGGGAGACCTGGAAGAAGCTCCTGGATCCTGGCTTTGAGCAGCCAGGACTCGAACCGGTGCCCATATGGGATGCTGGCGCTGCAGGCTGGGCTTTAACCTGCTGCACGTGCGTCCCCTTCTACACCCAGGTGCGTTGCTGTCCTGGGAAACCTGATTCCAGTCCGAGGACGCCACTACTGGGAGGTGGAGGTGGATGAGTGCCTGGACTACACCATCGGCGTGGCCTTTGAAGAGGTGCCTAGACACGAGGACCTGGGCGCCAACCGCCTCTCCTGGTGCCTGAGGCACACATTCGCCTCATCAAGGTAAAGGCAAACCCGGATGCCCAAGATTAACATTCGCTTTCCAAAGACAAGCCAAGAGGGTTTTCACTAACAGTGATCAAGGACGCACCCATTATGCTTTAGGAAATACTCGATGTTTCAGGAGTCGACGCCAGCCACTTTTAAGTCCAAGTGAGAAGAAAAAGCACAGCTGTGCTTTTGACATAAAAATGCAATCACAGGGGGCTTGTCCTACGCCCTTCCTTGCATTTTCTCGTTGACTTCTCATAGTGGTCACTGCCCACTTCTCAGGGCAGTTGATAATCCACCCACACGGTTTCAGAGCCCAGACTCGGACCAGGCGCCCGGCTGAGGAGACAGAATTCCTAACCACCAAGCGCTGGTTTCCCAGCGTGCTCAGCTGCAGTCTGTGAAGTAGATACTTTATTGGAAGCCTCAATTCTCTTAAGTAAAGACGGGCAAGAAGCTTGGAAGTTATGGCTAGTTCTGGTTTGCACTCGGGGCTGAGCACCATCTTTATGCATGAAAACAGTTCTAGGCTGGGGGCAAGAAACCTCACGGACCCAGGCCAGAGGACGACATGTTCACACTCAGCAGGCCGCGGCGCCAGCCTTCAGTACCAGCACACAGACCCACACTGGTTTCCTAGCAGCCCTTGTAAACAGGTCTCCTGGGCTTGGGAAATCCTATGAATGCTCATCCAGTGTTCCTGCCCCGATCCTTCATCATGCTTATTGAAACATTATTTGCCATGCCCAAGTAAAAGTGGGAAGATCAACCCCCACCCCTCACCAAAAGGTTTATACCGTAAGGGACTCTACTAAATGTCACCATGGTTTGGGGATGCAAGAATTACTATGTGCAGAGCCAGATCCCTTATTTAGGGATTCTGCTTGAGACGAACCAGCAGGAACAGGGGACAGAGTAAAACCCAGGCAGCGTAAAGGAAGCGTAGCTTTATGTGTCTGGTGAGAAGAGAATCAGAAGACAGAGGAGGGCAGAAACATGAGACCAACGAACGACAGGAGGAGGGCAAGAGCAGGAGCTTGGGCCAAGTGCCGTGCAGTGCTCTCGGGAAGACGCAGCGGGGAGACGGCGAGTTACGAGGGGAGACTGCGGGTAAGGTGTCCGGGGACGGGTCTCCCGGCTGACTGTAGTGTCTAGTTTAGTATTAGATTCTATTGATGGCGAGAGGGAAGGACTCACTAAGGGGAAGACAGGGAGCTGGGAAGGAGGCAGGCTGCCTTGCTCTCAAACACTCTGATCCCATTCCAGGGTTCACCCCAGGAGCGTGAGCCAGCACGCTGGCACCACAGCTCTTCAGATGCATGCAGGCAGCAGGTTAGGGACTTGCAGGGACTGGCTTTGGCTTCGGCCGTTGTTCAAAGCAAACAGGATACGGAGCATGGCTGAAGGGTGCTGGTGCCCATCACGGAGCTGTACACCGACGGTGGCAAGCCCACTGGATGGCTGCCCTGTTGGACGGTTTAAGAACCGGCTGCCCTAGAGCACTAGACCTAGACCCACGCTAGCACATGAGGTCACAGCAGCTCCGTTTCCAACAACCTCATCACAGAACACTCACACCTCTGAGCCCCCAGACCCGATTTTAAAGACCTCCTCCAACACTGATTCCAAGGTGCTGTGGGTTCACGATCCAGTGTGTAAGTCTGCTAAGAGGCTGCTCAGTAACAGGGTGGGGAAATGTGGCTTCTTGGGGCAAATTTTCGATGGCCCCCCTATAGACTTTCTGAAGAGTTGTCCCCCTGGTATTTTTCAGGCACAAGTATGAATTTCTGCACAACAAGACAAGCCCAGATACGAGAATAACAGTTCCCCCGAGGAGGATCGGCGTGCTGCTGGACTACGCAAACTCCAGGCTGTCGTTCTTCAACGTGGACATTTCTCAGCACCTACACTCGTTCAGCTGTGAGCTTCACCGACTCGTGCATCCTTGCTTCTCTCTGGAGAAGCCGGGGTGCCTGAAGATCCGTAATGGCATCCCAATGCCGAAGCACGTCACGTTCTACTAGCCCTCTGAATCCAGCTCCCTGTCTGACCTCTGGGCCTGCTCCTCTCCAGCCCTCATTCCTCAGCTGGCTGAACGTGCCATTTGAGTGCCCTGTGCCCACCACACTTTGTAGCTCATGCTGTCACCGGCAGCCTGGCATGCCGGCGCTCAGTTTACCTGAGCTGGGGTCCAGTCCTGAGTGCTGCCCCCGGGTGACTCCAGGGTGCCCATCAGCAGGCCCGGCTGTAGGAGGGCTCAGGCTAACTGAACTCAAACACCTTTCAAGCTATCACACTGTGTCTGTTCGTGTACATGCAAGGTCTTGGGGGAGGGGAAGCCCTAATGGCTTAGTGAGCCAAGCACTTGGGCAGGCAACAGGCTGTCCACAGACAACAGGGACACCACGTGCCCTGCGCCTTTCCCTTGGCAGGACTTGGTGAGGTTCCTCCCATGTGTTCTTAGTGATGGCCTGTTCCTCTCCTTCAGAGTACGCACGACCCTACATGCTGAAATTACCTCTACAACGCCTTACTCCATCTGGTGTCGCTCTTGTTCACCACGTAGTCCCCAGGGGCTGACGTAACGGGCACGCCCAGTACCTGGTGAGCACATCTTCGCCATCTGCCAGGGCTCTGCAGTCTCTTCTCGTCCTCCAGGTGAGGGACGGCAGGGCTCTTTCAGAGCGACAGGAAAGGGCTGTGCGCAGGGCAAGGAGGCAGCTGGAGGGCGGAGGCAGCTGCGGCTTGACGGCAAGACTTGGGACAACCGCACACTCCCTACTACAACCTACAGCCTACATGTAAACGCGGTGACAGGTGGAGGTAAGAGAACTTAGCTGCAGCCGATTCCAGGAACTGTCCTGCAGTGTAGACAATACCTGGGTTTGATTCCTACTTCGGAAGCTATTTTGCCTTATGACCTTGGAAGAGCCACCTCTTCTTCCAGAGCTTCTGTTTCCCCTTAAACCAGGAGAAAAATACTACTTGTCTCACCAACTGGGAGGCTTACTGACAAACAAGACAGCGCCTAACAATATAAAGCGTATGGCAAACATGCAACAGTTCTTTAGTTCTTTAGGGGAAAGCACCAGTCCACCAAAGGGTGAAGCTGAACGGGGTGGCCTGCAGGCGCTGCCCATGGCGTGCCGTCAGTTCCGTGCCTGGCTCCATCAGCTACCTTCCTGCTTCTCCCGTCCAAGTTGCCAGCTGCCATTTAAGCTCTGCACACACAGCATTTTCAAAGCTTCTAAGTCAAGCTGCAATTATCAGACCATCGGCAACAAGCCCCGTGGATACCTCACTTACACACAGGCATGCCCTCATGTCACCATTCAAGGTTTTATGTTAACGAAACTTTCACCAGAGCAGTAAGGCCAAAAATAAATAAAGGACATCCAAATAGAAAAGCAGGAGGTCAAATTATCCCTGTTTGCAGATGACATAACTTTAAATCTAGAAAAAACCTAAACACTGCACCAAAAACTGTTCAAACTGACAAATGAAATTAGCAACCTTGTAGACTATAAAATCAACATGTAACAATAAGTAATATTTTTATACACCAAAAACTGCTGTAGAAGAAATAAAAAGCAAGCAGTCCTATTGACGACAGCTACCTCCCACCTGAAACACCAAGGACTACTTTAATTAAGGAAGTGAATGATCTCGACAGTGAAAATTACAAACACTGATGAAAGAAACTGCAGACAACACCACAAAATGGGAACTACTCCCAGAGCAAAGGCAGACAGACAAATGGGAAAACGAAAAAGCTTCTGCCCAGCATAGGAAACAATCAACAGAGTGAAGAGACAACAGAATGAGAAAATACTGCAACCTACTCGTCCAACAAGGGATTAATTCACAGAATATATAATCAACAGAAAAAAAATCCAAGTAAAAACATGGGGGAATGACCTGAACAGACATTTCTCAAGATATACAAAAGGCCAAAAAGCATGATGAGAAAAGCTCAACATCACTAACCACTGGGGAGATGCAAATCCAAACCACAATGAGCTAACCCCTCAGGGCAGTCAGGACAGCTTTTATAAAATACTCGTAACTAACAGTGAGGACGCAGAGACCAGCAGTGTGTGCGAGTCCTCAGAAAACCAGAGACAGGATTACCATGTGACCCATCAATCCTGCTACTGAGCACACACCCAAAAGAAATGAAATCCGAATGTCAGAGACATCTGCACTCACGTCTGTTGCAGCGCTATTCATGTTAGCAGGATACGGAATTAACCTAGACATCCATCAATGGGCGAAGGGATAAAGAAACGGTCTATTTATTATTACTCAGCCACTAACAAAGAGAGAAACTCTGTCATCTGCAGCAACTCGGGTGAAACTGAAGGACAACGTATCAGTAACACAAGCCAAGCACAGCAAAATATATCACGTGTTAGTCACTTACACTGTCTCAAAGTAGAGAATGTTAGTTAGATGGCTTGGGGAATGGGGAGGGATACTGCAGGGCAGAGGGAGGGATGGACAGAGGATGTTAAGGACTGCAGGGGTGCAGGTGAGTGAACCAAAAAAACTCAGATGTTCTACAGCACAGTAGGATAACTGTGGTTAACAAGAACTAACTCAAAGACAGAATTCTGAATGTCCCTAACACAAAGAAATGAGAACTGTCTGAAGGGATGGGAATGCCAGTGACCCTGATCACTGTATACGTGTACTGAAATGCCACACTGTTCCCCGTAAACACGAACAATCACTCTGCGTCAATTAAAGATGGATATTTAAAAACAAAATTTTCTTGTTTTTCCAGCACACTCAATCGGACACACCAAAACACCTCTCTTGACTCACCCTGACAACCTAGTAGATCCCCCTCCCCACACACACAGGCCTGCCTGGCCAAGCTGGATCACTTAACCTGAACTATGAAGAGCGCAGCAGCTGTGAGCACAGAAATGGGTCCAGTTTTAAACAACGAAGACATACACGTGTGCATACTCAAAAACGCTCTCAGCCAGTGCTGTGGCTCACTAGGCTAATCCTCCACCTGCGGCGCCGGCACACCAGGTTCTAGTCCCGGTTGGGACACCAGATTCTGTCCCGGTCATTCCTCTTCCAGGCCAGCTCTCTGCTGTGGCCCGGGAGTACAGTGGAGGATGGCCCAAGTCCTTGGGCCCTGTACCCATGGGAGACCAGGAGAAGCACCTGGCTCCTGGCTTCAGATCAGCGCGGTGCGCCAGCTGCAGCGGCCATTGGGGGGTGAACCAACGGCAAAGGAAGACCTTTCTCTCTGTCTCTCTTACTGTCCACTCTGCCTGTCAGGAAAAAAAAAAAGTTCTCTGCTCCTGAAACATAAACCACCAAGTAGGAAACAGGGTGTGACCGGTAAGGCAAGTTTTCATTCAGGCTTCTAACTGGCTTTATGGAGTACTTCACGTGTACTATGAACACGAGTAAATGGATAAAAACTCCACATTGATAACATTTAATAACAATTTTGACCAAAAAAAAAACTGTCCAAATTGCCACTGACATTAGACTAGGCAGATAACAGCCTGAAGCATCACAATCGTTCAGTATAAAGAACCTTTATTTAAACATCTTTCTCACCTTCTACAAAAAGAAAAACGAAGTCTAAAACCAAACCAAACCAAACTTTGTTTTTTGTTACATATTCCGATTCTGTAAACTACCATGCACGATCTGCTGAAATGAAATTTCAACAAGGGGAAGGGTTTACCTCATGGAGACCATGTTCACCTGAAACCTGCCAAAAAAAGAAAAAAACAGAAAAAGATTTTTTAAGAATTAGAACTTTGCAGTCACAAACCCTGATAGAAGGCAGTTAAAAAAAAAAAAAAAAAGGCATCACAACCTGTTCTGTTGTTAGCTTTACTTGTATCTTCTATAGCCACCAAGCACACCATTACATAAGTCCCCAAATGAAGGACCCCAAAAGCGGTGCCCTTTTGTGATGACCCCAGACCAGACGATGCAAAAAGCAAGAGGCAGTTTCATTTCATTTGCGCAAATGGGCCCTCTGCTGCCGCAAGCGGCGAGAGAGAGAGAGAGAGAGAGAGAGAGAGAGAGCGAGCCCCGAACAGTCATCTCACACAGCTTTTAAAGGGCAAAACCACAAGATTACCATAGCCTTGGGTGGCGTAAGTTCATTGGACAACTTGACAGTTGGACAAAGTACATGGACAAGGGGGGGCGATGAGGAAGAGAAGCGGGCTGCTACGTGCCTTACGTGCCTCGCAGTTTCTTCACAGGGGAGGGGGGCCCATGTACATAACAGGTTGTTCTGTTGCCCATATCTCCGAGTGAAATCTAACCGCTTCTCTGAGAACCAGCTTACTTCCCTATTTCCCAGAACCAGCACTGAGTAGGGGAAAGGCTTTTATTATTCTACCTACTAAGGTACCTAACTTAACTACTTGGCCTAATTGCCTAATGTAGCACACTTATTGATATCACTGTTAACAGTATTAATAACATTTCCTATTATAACTTAAAGCTAACTTATATTTTATTTATTATGGTTCTATTATGCTTTTTGCAGGGGTCTTACATTTCCTTCTCTTCCCTTTGTACTGATTTTAATCTTAAAATCTAGCCGTGGGGCTGGATGGCCGGGGGGGCCTTGGTTTAAAAACAGAAGCCCCAGGAGCTAACACCTTGTTAGGCCCTACCGGTAAAGGGTCAGGGGAGGTAATTTTTAGCCTTATTTTAAACACGAGTCCTGTGTCCGTTCCTGAGACATACAGTCGTAGCCCCCAGGTTTTCCCCTGCAACCAACCGGACTGTGAAGAGAAATCTCTCCCTTTGGTAGTGAAGGTGATGTTTAGGGGGTTGCACCAGGGGGAACACTGTGGCGATTTAGGGTTACTGCTGCCACAATCGCTACCGGTGGAGTTTCTGCCTACTGTGATGAGATTCCCTGGAGACGAGGGTTTCCAGTAAACCGTCCCAGTGGTCTCACATCCCCAGGCAGCACAATAGTAGGATTCCAGCCCCCCACAGCGATACGCGGTTGCTTGGTCCCGATCTTCGCGGGGGCAAACATAGAAGGGTAAGGTCCAAAGTTTTTTTCGGAATGAGGCACGACTGCACCCATAAGCCCATCCTCCTATTCCTCCTTCCCACCCTGAGGTCTGGTGTTGCATGGAGCAGATTTGGGATTCTCTTTCGGGGCCCACAGCAGAAGTTATGGTAGGGATATCCCAAGTCTCTAACCTAGCTGCCAACTGGCAAATATCAGGGGTCAGAGAGGGCCACCATGTCCACGGGGGCGCCGTGTGGGTGGTTGACCACACGACATCACCAGTGGCAGATAGCACTTGCCACTCAAGTCTCTGAGGGGCATGTGGGTTGGAGTTTAGGAGGAGAGGGTTGGGAAAAACTAAGCTGGGGAAAATTACAATCACTGTGAGCATTAGGCAATTTTTAAAAGTCTTATCTTGAGGGGGTTTTGAGTGCGTTGGAGTGTCCATTTGGCTGAGTCATCCGTGGGGCCGCCTCCCTCCGGCGGTGCCCTCTTGACGTGAGAAGCGTGAACCCAAGCGGCAATCCCGTCGACTTTCACTGCAGTGGGTGTCGTCAGCAGCACAGTGTAGGGTCCCTTCCAACGCGGCTCGAGGGTCCTGGACTGATGTCTGCGGAGGTAAACTGAATCTCTGATCTGGAAAGGGTGTGGCACTGTAGGGCACTTGGATTGGTACACTGCTGCTAGAGGTTTCCACACGTGCCTCTGAATCAGCTGCAAAGCTCTCAGTTGGGTCTGCAAACTGGGGGAAGTGGCATAAGAGTCAATGCTGGGTCCCAACAAGTCAGCTATTGGGGGAGGGCCTCCGTACAGTATCTCATACGGAGTCAACCCGAACGCGGAGGGAGTGCTGCGGGCCCAGAATAAGGCCATCGGTAGCAACTCGACCCAGTCTCTAGTGCCAGTCTCCATCATTAATTTGGTTAAGGTCTCTTTAATTGTTCTGTACGCTCTACCTGTCCTGAACTCTGGGGTCTATAAGCACAATGTAATTTCCAATCAATCCCCAGCACCTTGGCCACCAACTGACTTACCCGGGAGACAAAGGCCGGCCCATTGTCGGACCCCAGCACCTTAGGTAGACCAAACCGTGGGAAGATTTCTTCCAAGATCTTCTTGACTACTACCTGCGCTGTTTCCTTCTTAACCGGGAAAGCCTCCGTCCAGCCAGAGAAAGTATCTACAAATACTAAGAGGTATTTAATTCCATACCTGCCGGGACGAATCTCAGTGAAATCGACCTCCCAGTTTGTTCCAGGACAGGCCCCTCGCATCCTTCCCCCTTCCGGCATCTTGACACATTTTGGATTTACCTTTGCGCAAGGAACACACGATTCTGTTGCCCGTTTCACCAGTGAGTCCAACCCGATTATAAAGTGGGACTGCTCTTCTCTGTCCAGTAGGGTTTTTAACTTTTTATGTCCCAGGTGAGTCCACCTATGGAGGTCATTTACCAGATCTCTGGCTACCTTTCTTGGTAGTACTGTTTTCCCTTGAATCTCCCAGACCCTGTGTTGTTCATTATACCTTCCTCCCAATCTTTGGATGGCCGCCACGTCCTGTTCCGAATAAGTCCATCCTTGTTTATCAGAGCGGGCCTCAGATGACTGGGCCATCAAAGCGACACTGTCCAGGGCACTGATCCTGGCCACCTCGTCCGCCAGTCTGTTTCCTTTAGCCACTGGGTCATTTCCTTTTTGGTGGCCTAAACAATGGATAATGCTCACCCTCTTTGGGAGATGGAGGGCTTGCAGGAGGTCTAAGATTTCCTGTTTTTTTTTGTTTTTGTTTTTGTTTTTTTTTTTTGACAGGCAGAGTGGACAGTGAGAGAGAGAGACAGAGAGAAAGGTCTTCCTTTGCCGTTGGTTCACCCTCCAATGGCCGCCGCGGCCGGCGCACCACGCTGATCCGATGGCAGGAGCCAGGAGCCAGGTGCTTCTCCTGGTCTCCCATGGGGTACAGGGCCCAAGCACCTGGGCCATCCTCCACTGCACTCCCTGGCCACAGCAGAGAGCTGGCCTGGAAGAGGGGCAACCGGGACAGAATCCGGCGCCCCGACCGGGACTAGAACCCGGTGTGCCGGCGCCACTAGGCGGAGGATTAGCCTAGTGAGCCGCGGCGCCGGCCAGATTTCCTGCTTATTTTTAATGTCCTTGCCCCCAGAGGTCAGCAGTCCCCTCCTTCGGTATATTTCTCCATGGATATGCGCAGTGGTAAATGCGTAGCGGCTATCAGTATAGATGTTTACCTTTTTGTTTTTAGCCACCCGGAGCGCTTGGGTGAGAGCCACCAGTTCAGCCTTCTGTGCCGAAGTCCCCGGGGGCAGAGCTGAGGCCCAGATAACAGTCTCCCCGTCCACTACAGCTGCCCCCACCTTCCTCTCACCTTGGTGTAGGAAGCTGCTCCTGTCCGTGTACCAGGTGCATTCCGCGTCTGGCAGGGGCAGGTAGGTCGGTCCCCTCGGGTCCCCTGCACTTCGGCTAACACTTGATGACAGTCGTGATCGACTTGTGACTCGGACCCCAGCTCAGGGAGCAGGGTAGCCTGATTGAGCGAGGCAGCAGTCCCATACCGGATCCGTTCAGGGTTGAGCAACATGGCCTGGTAGTGGGCGATCCTGGCGTTCGACAGCCATCTATCTGGCAGTTGGCGGATAACAGCCTCGATGGCATGGGGTGCCATATGGTGAGTGGCTGTCCCAAAGTCAGTTTGTCCGAATCTTTCACCAGAACAGCCACGGCCGCAATCATGCAGAGGCAAGGGGGCCACCCCGAGGAGACACTGTCCAGTTTCTTTGAAAAGTACGCTACAGGTCTTTTCCAGGGTCCTAAATTTTGAGTCAAAACACCCTTCGCCATTCCCCCTTTTTCATCCACATAAAGGGTGAAAGGTTTAGCAGGGTCCGGGAGGCTCAATGCAGGAGCCTCCAAGAGGGCCCGTTTTATCTTGTGGAATGCCAGCTGTTGTTCTTTTCCCCATACAAATGGGGAATTTGTCCTCGTGAGAGGGTACAGCGATGCTGCCATCTCTGCAAAGCCTGGTATCCAGAGGCGGCAGAAGCCAGCGCTGCCCAAGAACTCCCTGAGGTGGCGGGCATTCTTAGGCGGTGGAATGAGCGCTACGGCCCTTTTACACCCTTCAGTCAGCCACCTCCGACCTCCCTCCAGTACATAGCCCAGGTAGGTCACACGTCGGGTGCAAAGTTGGGCCTTCTTCCCGGAGGCCCTGTATCCTAACTCTCCCAGCCTATGGAGTAGGGCCTCCGTACCTTTGATGCAACCCTGCTCAGTCTCTGCAGCTAACAACAGGTCATCCACGTATTGCAGAAGAGTCAACTCTGGGTGGCTTACCCGAAAGTCCGCCAAGTCCTGGTGTAAGGCTTCATCAAACAGCGTAGGGGAGTTCTTGAGCCCTTGGGGAAGCCTGGTCCACGTTAGTTGTCCCGAAAACCCAGTCTCCAGGTCTTTCCACTCGAAAGCAAAGAAAGGTTGACTCTGGGGACTCAGTCTTAGGCAAAAGAAAGCGTCTTTCAAGTCGAGCACTGTGTACCAAGTTTGGATCGGGGGCAGGGTGCTTAGCAGGTTGTACAGGTTAGGAACCGTAGGGTGAATGTCCTCAGCCCTACAGTTTACTTCCCGTAGGTCTTGCACTGGCCTGTAATCATTGGAGCCAGGCTTTTTGACTGGTAACAAAGGGGTGTTCCAAGATGACTGACAAGGTCTCAATATGCCCAGTTTTATTAGTCTCTGTATGTGCGGCCGAATTCCAACCTTTGCCTCCGTGGCCATAGGGTATTGGCGGATGGATACGGGAGTGGCCGTGGGCTTCAGGTTTACTATCACTGGGGGCTGTCAGACAGCAAGCCCTACTCCTCCCGTCTCCGCCCAAGACTGGGGAAATTTAGCAAGCCACTCAGATGCTACCTGAGGCTGGGCTGTTAGGGGGCATTCATGAAGGCGGTGTTCATCCTCCAGTCGGAGGGTCAACACATGGAGGGGTTGGCCTGCGGGGCCAACTACTGTGGCTCCCTTATCTTGGAAATGGATCTGGGCCCCAACCTTTGAGAGCAGATCCCTTCCCAGCATGGGGTATGGGCAGTCCGGCACTAGTAAGAACGAATGCGTGACCTGCCCCGTTGCCAAGTCGACCTTACGCTCAGTAGTACATTTGTACAGTTTCCCTCCAGTGGCCCCCTGGACCCATGATGTCTTGGAACTGAGAGGGCCTTCAGCCACGGTAAGAACTGAATGCTGGGCTCCAGTGTCAACCAGAAAGGTGACTGGTCGGCCTCCCACCTTCAGGGTTACCCAGGGCTCTGGGGGAGGCTCCTGGCCCCGACCTACCTATTCGTCGTCTTCCAGTGATAAGACTGTAACGGCTCTCCGTTGGCCTTTCAGCTGACCCTTGTTTGGGCAATCCTTGATCCAATGTCCTTTTTCTTTGCAGTAGGCGCATTGGTCTCGGTCCACCCGCGGTTTCCGTTTGTCTCCCAAGTCCCTACCTTGTCTACATTTAGCCTGCTCTGATCCTGTAACTGCGGTGGCCAGGATCTTAACTAAGTCCTTGTTTCTCTTTTTATCTCTCTGATCCTCCCTACGTTCCTGTTCTCTGTGTAACCTCTCTTCTCTTTCCTCTTTCGTTTCTCTTTTATTGAAAATCTTTTCTGCCTCCTTAACTAGGTCCAGCAGTGTATACCCCTGCAACCCCTCCAACCTCTGTAGCCTAGTACGGATGTCCGGCGCCAATTGTCCAATGAAGGACATAATCACGTCGGCTTGCCGGTCTGGGGGTTTGTGGGTCGAAGGGAGTATACATCCTATAACCTTCCATTAATCTCTCCAGAAATCCTGCCAGAGTTTCCTCATTCCCTTGCATAATTGCACGTACCTTTGCCAAATTAGTCGGGCGCCTTCCGGCCCCCCTGAGACCTTTCAGGAGAATCTGGCGATAGAGACGGAGTCGCTCCCTACCGGCCACGGTATTGAAGTCCCAATCAGGTCGAGTCAGCGGGAAGGCTCCATTGATCTCATTGGGCTGCTGAGTGGGACGGCCGTTATCTCCCGGCACATTTTTGCGGGCTTCTGTGAAAACCCTCTGCCTTTCTTCTGTGGTTAGGAGGGCCTGCAAAAGCTGCTGACAGTCATCCCAAGTGGGCTGGTGGGTTAACAGAATTGACTCTATCAGGCCAGTCAGGGCCTGCGGGTCTTTAGAGAAAGGAGGGTTATGAGCTTTCCAATTGTAAAGGTCTGAGGCAGAAAATGGCCAGTATTGAACCTCCCCCGCCACTGAGCGAAGCGGGAAGGCTTGGGACGTCCAGGAATCTCCCGCCTCCCCCTGTTCGTGACGAAGGCGCAAGCGGGTATTCGGCGGCGATGAGTGTGGGTCAGACGAGGGTCGTGGCGCTTCCTCATCCCGCCCCGTGGAATCTGGGGAGGGCGCGGAAGGTTCTGCCCCTTCCAAAGTGGGTGGTTGATGGGGACGGTTATAGGGAGGAGGAGGGTCTAGCAGCAAAAGATTTTCCTGTCCCCCCGGGAGGACCGGCGGATCATCAGGTTTTGTTTTCGGGGATTCTTTTAGGGGGTAAAGGTAAGATGTTAATGGAGGGGTCAAAGGTATCGCGGAGGGGCATGGAGGAGGCCTAGGACCCCCAGGGGTTTCCTTGTCGACCCTACTCCTGCCTCCAGTTCCCCTCCGTGTGAGGAAAGGTCTGACCCAAGGAGGAGGCTCCTGAGTCAAATCTTCCCACACCGTGATGTAGGGCACTTGGTCTGGATGTCCTTCAGTGCCCTCCTGGCAAACGCGGTTTTTCACCTGTAAGATAACATCAAAGTCAAAGATCCCGTCTCTGGGCCAGCCAACATCGAACGCTGGCCAGGCAGAGGTGCAGAAAGTTATCCAATCCTTTTTCCGCACCTCCACCGACAGGTTGCAAGCACGTTCCCGACCCTCCTTCCAGTGTCCTAGAATCAGGCTCAAAGGTGTTGTTAATTGTTGGCCCATGACAACAGATGGGGGAAATAGAAAGAAATAAAGAATAACAAAAACAGCGACACACAGAACAGAAATCACAAGCCACGTGGCAACAGACCGAGACAAAACCGAAACTAAAATTTCAGATGGGAGCGGCCGTCTGGCCAGGCTCTCCCCTGGAAGAAGGGAAATGCTCTCTTTCCCCTCTTCCCAGACCACCACTGGAGCGTCCTCCAGGGTAGGACCAGGGGTCTCAGGACATGTCTGTCTCCCCCACTGGTCCAATACTGAGCCTGCACAGGCGCCCCAGGACGGATTCACGTCGCCCTGGCAAACAAGGACAAACAGTACAAACCACAATTACAATAATACACAAGTAAGCAAACTTACCTCCGTCAGGCCGATGGAGTGTGGGAGTCTGGGGTCTCCCAAATCCCGGACGAGCTCCCAAATGAAGGACCCCAAAAGCGGTGCCCTTTTGTGATGACCCCAGAAACACAGACTCCAGACCAGGCGATGCAAAAAGCAAGAGGCAGTTTCATTTCATTTGCGCAAATGGGCCCTCTGCTGCCGCAAGCGGCGAGAGAGAGAGAGAGCCCCGAACAGTCATCTCACACAGCTTTTAAAGGGCAAAACCACAAGATTACCATAGCCTTGGGTGGCGTAAGTTCATTGGACAACTTGACAGTTGGACAAAGTACATGGACAAGGGGGGGCGATGAGGAAGAGAAGCGGGCTGCTACGTGCCTTACGTGCCTCGCAGTTTCTTCACAGGGGAGGGGGGCCCATGTACATAACAGGTTGTTCTGTTGCCCATATCTCCGAGTGAAATCTAACCGCTTCTCTGAGAACCAGCTTACTTCCCTATTTCCCAGAACCAGCACTGAGTAGGGGAAAGGCTTTTATTATTCTACCTACTAAGGTACCTAACTTAACTACTTGGCCTAATCGCCTAATGTAGCACACTTATTGATATCACTGTTAACAGTATTAATAACATTTTCTATTATAACTTAAAGCTAACTTATATTTTATTTATTATGGTTCTATTACGCTTTTTGCAGGGGTCTTACACGCCCACAGAAACCACTCCTCCAGTCTCCAGTCACCTTCCCGCAGGCTGGCAGCAAATTCTCCAGTCTCCACAACTCTCCCCTATAAATACACTCTTTCTGTTTTCCACGTAGTAAAACAATAGGAAGTGCATACTTGCTGTTGGTAGATAAGTAGGTCTTGAACTTCCTTTGCGAACAAGACCTGTTCTATCTACCTTTTCATTTAGGAGGCTAAAGGCAGAGTCGGCTTGACTTCAAGGACTCTCATTTCTTAGTCTCCAGAATGTGACCAAGTCTTGCTTTTACAACATGGTCCTTGAACACATCAAGATACTACAGAGGGCTGGCGCTGTGGCACAGTGGGTTAAAGACCAAGCCTGCAGCACTGGTATCCCATACAGCCGTGGGTTCAAGTCCCGGCTGCTCCACTTCCAATCCAGCTCCCCACTAATGTGCCTGGAAAAGCAGTGGAGGATGTCCCAAGTCCTTGGGCCCCTGTACCCACATGGGAGACCTGAAGAAGTTCCAGGCTTCTGGCTTTTGAATGGCTCAGCTCTGGCCACTGTGGCCATTTGGAGAGTGAACCAGCAAATGGAAGACCTCTCTATACCCCTCTCTGTAACTCTTTCAAATAAATCTTTTTCTTTTTCTTTTTTTATTTATTTGAAAGTCAGAGTTACACAGAGAGAGGAGAAGCAGAGAGAGAGAGAAGTCTTCCATTCACTGATTCACTCTCCAATTGGCCACAACGGCCAGAGTTGTGCCGATCCGAAGCCAGGAGCCAGGAGCCTCCTCCAGGTCTCCCACGTGGGTGCAGGGGCCCAAGGACGTGAGCCATCCTCTACTGCTCTCCCAGGCCACAGCAGAGAGCTGGATCGGAAGTGGAGCAGCTGGGACTAGAATCGGCACCCACATGGGATGCCGGCGATCCAGGCCAGGCATTAACTTGCTGCGCCACAGAGCCGGCCCCAAATAAAATAAATCTTAATAATAAAAAATTACTACAGAAAAGGTCCTTTATAACCTCAAGCTTTAAGAGATGGGAACTCTTTCCATATGCTCACTTCACTACACACGATGGTTAATTAATCTAAATGCAAGCTAAGAGTTTGTCATCTGGGAAGAAGAATACAGCCAGCTTGCATCTTCTCCATCACTAAGAGTTCTGCAAGGAGTGTGACTTTGACCTGGGCACACTGCACCTCTGTCAGTGATTCCTCTTAGCTGTGACAGGCCAGGCACTGGTTCTTGTCAAGAACCTCCAACTGCTTTACAGCTTGTTTCCTCTATCATCATCACCCGCCAAAATTAAGCCCTGCTCACTGGTTCACTAATTTGTCTTCATTTTCACTAATTTGTCTTCATTTTACCAGATTTCGACAGAATCCAGTTTTTCTTCTGTTTTCACTTATTCGAATACTGGTGGAATCAACCTATTATGTATTTCAACCATGAGAATCAAACAGCTTGTAGCAGGTGCAGACAACACCTGCGCAGTCACTTGGACATAGCCAACACTGTGTAGTGTTAACTTGAACACTAACCTTGCCCTTTGCAGCATTCTCATTCTTAAAATTCAATGTGGGGGGCTGGCGCCACGGCTCACTAGGCTAATCCTCCGCCTGTGGCGCCGGCACACCGGGTTCTAGTCCTGGTCGGGGCGCCGGATTCTGTCCCGGTTGCCCCTCTTCCAGGCCAGCTCTCTGCTGTGGCCCGGGAAGGCAGTGGAGGATGGCCCAAGTCCTTGGGCCCTGCACCCCATGGGAGACCAGGAGAAGCACCTGGCTTCTGCCATCAGATCAGTGCGGTACGCCGGCCGCAGCGCGCAAGCCGCGGCGGCCATTGGAGGGTGAACCAACGGCAAAGGAAGACCTTTCTCTCTGTCTCTCTCTCTCACTGTCCACTCTGCCTGTCAAAAAAAAAAAAAAAAAAAAAAAAATTCAATGTGGGTAAATTCAAATAGTCTGGACCGGAGACAGGAATATAACCAAGTCAACAAACTTGAGGCTTCCCACAGCAGGAGCACAGCTTTCCAAGATGGATTTACTGAGCGAATCTGTCACTTCTTGGTTAAAACTCCATTATTCTGCCACCCAGAAAGACTCCGACCCTCTAACTGCCTTCCACATGCTAATCGACCATCTAATTAAAGAGAAGAGGAGAAAATGAGAGAAGAAAAAACACCAAGAAACACTGTCCAGAAGTAAGGCGAGCACGCTGGAGGAAGGCTAACGTATTTGATGCTGTCCTCTGTGCCATTTACAATTTGTAGACTGGCCTGATTCCTAGGCACCCCAAACAGCCCTCCGCTCCCCTGTCCATCCAGTGCCCACAGAGCTCAAAAGTCACCTCTTGGAAGCACTGCCTGACTCTTCCTCTCCCAGGCCAACGGCCACACACTCACCTTGAGAAACTTCAGAGGATACCCTGCTACCACTGTCTTGCATCTGCTCCACTTGCACACAAACCACGGTCTCTGAATGGCCAGAAACAAGCGCCTTCTGCCCTCGGGGGCTCACACACCTGCAAAGCGGGAGAACACATCGGACTGTATTCCAGAGCGGAGAGGGAGCCTCTTCATTAGAAAGCAAACCAGCTTTCGAATCTGTGTGTGCTGGAGGAGGGTGGGCGAGACAGCACAGGTATGGACCCACGAACCTTTCTCCTGCATCCGAGCACCTGCGGGATCAGAGATTCCCACCAGCAGCACTACACGGTGGGGACTTCTAACCTGGGAGGGTGGGAGGGGGCACAGAAGAATAGGGGCGGGGGCTGGAAAAGATGGGACTGACAGCCTCCCCCCCCCATCCCCTCACTGTAAGAGAACTTTTATACTCTCATTTAGTATGTGTCACAGTTTCGACTATCCTAAGAGAGCCCAAAGACCTACAGCACGTGGATCTGAAAGGTTCCGAGTCCTAACTATGGGTTGTAGGTCAGAGGCTGGGGACTGGAGGTTGCCCCTGCACCTGCGCTAATACTGACACCACACCATGACGCTGTGGTTTCTGCTGGCTTTAGAATCTAAAATGTTAATGGAGGAGATTCTACAATGTAAGCTAATGAAAAACTTAGGGACTTAACATTATGTTCACAGCCCAAGTCAAGAACTTCTTTAAAAAAAATCACTTTATGGGAGGGACTCCCTCACAAAAAACAACTAAAGCATCTCAGTGCCTAAGAAAAGCCCGCCTCCCCCAAATAACTGGTCAAATTGGTTCTCTACAGGGTGGAAATCAGACGGGATCACCCAATACTGAAATCTCATCTTTTCCCAGATGGTGACTGATGGCTCGAGTTAGACAAGTGAGATGCTGTGTTCATTATAAATCAGAAAAAAAAGAAATGTTCCTAGGCCTTCAAAGGACCTCAAGCCAACTTCCCAAAAATAACCTAAATAAAACATTCTCCAAGGATTTCCATGTAAGGGATTTTTAAACACCACTTACTATTCACAATCAGGTATAAACTCGGAACTGGGTATGTTTCTGTGCAGTTACTTATTGAAAAAAATCCAATGAGTTCTCAGAGGAAGGAGACCGCTGGTGGCGCTGACCCCGCGGCAGACACTGACCTTTCACCTCTGCCCCCCCAGCCCTACAAATCCCCTGAAGCTCGACACGCCTGCCTACGAGGACGCTACCGTGAGGCACCCCTACAGGCGTGCCAGACGCCGGCCTTACCCCACGCCACAAACACATCCCGCCCGCGGCGTCCACTCTTCGTCGCAATTCTTCTCTTCTTCCGGTGGAAAACAACCCCTTCCGGTTTCCTGGGCGTGGGGAGGAAGTCCCGCCCCACGGAGGGGCGGGACGCAACGGGACGCGAGGGAGGGGCGCGCGCATGCGCGGGACGGATGGGCGTGTCGGCGCTCCCTGCCAGTACGGGCGGGACGGCTTTAGGGAACTGGCTGGGTGCTGGGAGGTTGAGTCCGCCGCTGGAGGGGGACGGGGTGGGGCTGGGAGCCCGTCCGCGGGTCCTCGCGTCCTCCCCCGGCGGACGACCCCCGAGGGCCTATCCCGCGTTTGCCCTGGTTTCCCAGTTCGCTCCCCGTATTTGGTTTCGCGCCGCCATCTCCGCAGCCCGGTTCTTTGCCCACTTACGGGGCCTTGGCTGTGCCTACAGCAGGTGCTCCCGAGCCTGTGGTAATTCTTGCTGCTGGAAGCACGGGCACTTGCTAACCATGGAAGGGACTGACGGCATGCGTCACCCTCGCCTTGGCTGTGGACGTCAGGAAGACAAAGAGGGAATTAAAATTACTCTTGCATCACAGGCCGGTGGCTTACCAGAACAGATACCCTGGCATTCTGAAATCTAGGTGTCGCTTTCCATGCGTTCTTTTTGACTCTGAGTAGAATCTGCCTCCTTTGGCTTCTGGCGGAAGCCAGCGCTCACTGGTTAACTTTGCACCTGCGTCACTCCCTGCTTTTCCTGTGGCGTCAAGTGGTGTTCTTCCTATGTGTCTCTGTGATCTTAAAAGGACACCCGTCAGGCCGGCGCCGCTCACTAGGCTAATCCTCCGCCTTGCGGCGCCGGCACACCGGGTTCTAGTCCTGGTCAGGGCGCCGGTTCTGTCCCGGTTGCTCCTCTTCCAGTCCAGCTCTTTGCTGTGGCCCGGGAGTGCAGTGGAGGATGGCCCAAGTGCTTGGGCCCTGCACCCCATGGGAGACCAGGAGAAGCACCTGGCTCCTGGCTTCAGATTGGCGCAGCACCGGCTGTAGCGGCCATTTGGGGGGGTGAACCAACGGAGAAGACCTTTCTCTCTGTCTCTCTCTCTCTCTCACTGTCTAACTCTGCCTGTCAAAAAAAAAAAAAGACACCAGTCCTGAGTAAGAAGCCCACCCTACTCCCCTGTGACATGATCATGACTTATCACATCCGCAATGCCCCTATTTCCAGGTAAAGTCATATTATGACTCTCCTGGAAGGATGTAAATTTGGGGGGAGTGACACTTGGCCTACCCAGAGTGCAGCTCTCAAAGTTCTTAAAACGTAGCAGCCCAAGAGCTGAGACTTAATTCTCAGCTTAAGTCGCCTCAGAAAAGGAGCAGCCAGGACTCGAACCAGCGCCCATATGGGATGCTGGCGCTGCAGGCTGGGGCTTTAACCTGCAGCACCACGGCACCGGCCCCAGATTCTATTCTTTGAGCATAACCTGTCCTTTCGTTTTTCGTGAAGACATTTGCTATGGTTTATGTGCTGGAAACTTAATCCCCAGCATCCTATGTTGATGGTGTTTGGGTGTGGTGCCTTTGGGAAGCCATTAGGATGAGATGCGGTCATGAGGGAAGGGAGCCCCATGATGGCATTGCTGGTTTCAAAAAAGAACAGAGGGGCCAGTGCTATGGCATAGCAGGTAAAGCCAGCGTCCCATGTGGGCACCCGTTCGAGTCCTTGCTGCTGTACTTCTGATCCAGCTCCCTGCTAATGTGCCTGGGAAAGCAGCAGGAGATGGCCCAGGTCCTTGAGCCCCAGCACCCACATGGGAGACCCGGATGAAGCTCCTGGCTCCTGGCTTCGGCCTGGCCCAACCCTGAGGGTTGCAGCCATTTGGAAAGTGAACCAGCAATGGAAGACATATCTCTCTCTCTCTCTCTCTCTCTCTCTCTCTGCCTCTGCCTTGCCCTCTCTGTAACTCTTACTTTCGAATAAATAAATCTTTTTTTTAAAAGAGACCTGAGTTAGAGCACTCGCCCTTTCTTGCCATGTGACCCCTCTGCCTTGTGGTGCAGCAGGCAGGCTCTCAGATGCCAGCACCTGCATATTGAACTTCACAGCCTCCAGATTCGAGCTAAATGAACACATTCTCTATACATCTCCCAGCCTGTGGTGTTTGGTTACACTGAGAAAACAGACTAAGACAACATTTTAAGGTCCTAAATTTGCCTCCAAATGTAGTATGTGTTGTATTCTATAGGTTTCCACGTAATGTGCTCTCTGCTCTCTTACTGCTCTTAATGTAGGTTGTCATTTTAACCAGAAAAAAAAAGACTATTTTTAGAACAGTTTTAGATTCACAAAAAAATTGAGAGGAAGATACAGAGATACCCTGTTTATCTCCTCACATGCTTCTCCTTTTCCATTATCAACGTCCCTCCTAATGTTTGTTATGATTGGTCAACCTACAGTGGCACAACCATCACTCAAAACCCATGGTTTACACTAAGCTTCACTCTTTTTTTTTAAAGGTTTATTTTGTTAAAGGAGATCGATCTTCCATCTGCTGATTCATTCCCCAAAGGGTCACAGCAGCCAGGTCTGGGCAGGCCAAAGCCAGGAGCCAGGAACTCCATCTGGGTCTCCTATGCGGGGGACAGGAACTCAAGGACTTGGGCCATCGCCTGCTGCTTCCCAGGCAGCAAGGAACCGGATTGGAATCAGAGCAGCCTGGACTCCACCCAGCACTCCAGTAAGGGATGCCCGTGTCCCGAGCAGTGGGTCAACCACTGGGGCATGATGTCTGTGTTGTACATTCTGTGGGTTTGGGGAAATAGTGCTGTGTAGCCACCCTTGTGGTGTCATGCACAGTGCTTTCACTACCTCAGAACGTGCTCTGTGCTCTGCGTATGCTCCCCTCTTTGCCCCCAGTCTGGCAGCCTGGTTCCTGTCGCCACAGTTTTGCCTTTTCCAGAGCCGTACGATGGGACTCAGTAGAACAGAACACGCAACCTTCTCAGATTGGCCTCTTTTGCTTAGCAATATGGTCTCAGTTTCCTCTTTCATTCCCTGGCTGAGAGTGTGTCACCAGTCACGGAGGGGAGGGCGGTGGCCCGAGTGAGTCTCGTGGGTTCTTTTCCTCGGCTTAGTATAGAAATAAAAAGCCAGGAAACAACTTGCAGAGGCACAAACTTTTATTTGACTGGCAAGCGATAGAGCAAACGTCTGGTCAGAGAGGAGAGCAGGCGGAGTGCCGAGCGGGACACTGGCTTTGAGGAAGGGGCCAGGTTTCAAAGGCGTTACTGTCTGTGCGTTGGGTTATCCTACTGGGAGGTGCCCATTGGACGGGGGTTTTACGTTGATTGGTTTGTGGCTCAGGGAGATAGCAGGGGTCTCCTTGAGACTGTCTGTCTCCTTAGGGGCTCAGACCCCCTCCCCTGCCAGCTCTGAGTGAAAGATTGCACCCACCCTGAAGAAGTGATTTAAAGCCACAAGGTCACACATGCAGCACAGAAGCTGTTAGTGGGGGAGATGCCAGTTGGCCTGGAGACAGGCTTTGCAGCCGCAGGTGCTAGCCTGCTTGTAAAAGACGTTCTACCTATGTCTCAAGGGGCCACAGACTCCCAGCCCCCCTGGCCGGCCTCAAAGTGCATTTGTTTTTAGCACTGAATAATATTCCTTTGTCTGGATGTTTATTTTTACCTTTAAATCCTGAAAGCCATCTTGGTTGCTTCCAAGTTTGGGAAATATATGCATAAAGCTCCTGAGAACACCCGTTTGCAGGTTTGTGTGTGGACGTAGGTTTCCAGCTCCCTTGGATAAACACTAAGAGGCAGGGTTGCTGGGTCAATCTGTCTTCCATAGTGGCTGTCTCATTGTACATTGTCGCCAGCAGGTGCCACACGCTCACCAGCACTGGGTGTTGCTGATGTTCCGGATTTTGGCCATTCTGACAGCTGTAGTCGTATCTTGTTTTCATTTGCATTTCCCTGATGACATGATACAGGACGTCTTTTCATATATTTGTTTTCCACGTGTGTATCTTCTTTGGTAAAATATCTATGAGGATCTTCAGCCCATTTTTAAATCATGGTGTTTTCTTATTGTTGTTTTAGGAGATTTCTATATTTAGAATAACAGTCATGAAGCAGGTGTGTGTGTGTCTTCTGAAAATGTTTTCTCCCGTTCTGTCGCTTGTCTTTTCATTCTCTTGAAACCACAGAGCAGAAGTTTGTCATTTTAATGAGGCAGCTTATCAATGAAAGAAACACAGATCATCTAAAAGTTATATCTAAAAAGTCAGCGCAACACCCAAGAACACCCAGAGAGAGACAGAGAGGTCTTCCATCCGCTGGTGCACTCTCCAGATGGCCACAACAGCCAGAGCTGCACCGATCCAAAGCCAGGAGCCAGGAACTTCTTCCCGGTCTCCCACGCGAGTGCAGGGGTCCAAGGACTTGGGCCATCCTCTACTGCTTTCCCAGGCCATAGCAGAGAGCTGGATCGGAAGTGGAGCAGCTGGGACTCGAACCAGCACCCACATGGGATGTCGGCACTGCAGGCGGCAGCTTTACCTGCTACGCCACAGCACCAACTCCAACCCTCTTTTATTTTTTATATTAGTAATTTGTGTCCTCTTCTCTCTTTTTTTCATGGACAGCCTGCCTGAGGAGTGTAAATTGTCTTGATCTTTTCTAAGAACTACCTTTTAGTTTCATTAGTTTTCCCTGTCTGTTTCTTGATTACACTGATTTCTGCTTTAAGTTTTATATTTGTTTTCTTCTGTTTACTTTAGATTTAGTTTGCTCTTTTCTATTTTCCTAAAGTGGAAGCTAAAATGATTGAGTTTACATCTTCCTCCTCCTCCTCCTCCTCCTCCTCCTCCTCCTTCTTCTTCTTCTTCTTTTTTGACAGGCAGAGTTAGACAGTGAGAGAGACAGAGAGAAAGGTCTTCCTTCCATTGGGTCACACCCCCCAAATGGCCGCTGTGGCCGGAGCTACACTGATCCAAATCCAGGAGCCAGGTGCTTCCTCCTGGTCTCCCATGCAGGTGCAGGGCCCAAGGACCTGGACCATCCTCCACTACCTTCCCGGGCCACAGCAGAGAGCTGGCCTGGAAGAGGGGCAACCGGGACAGAATCTGGCGCCCCGACTGGGACTAGCACCCGGGGTGCTGGCGCCGCAGGTGGAGGATTAGCCAAGTGAGCCGTGGCACCGGCCATCTTCCTTCTTTTCTAATATATGACTTCAATGGCAAAATTTCCCTCTAATCATTACTTTTACCACATCCTATGAATTTTAATAAGCTGTATTTTCATTTTCATTTAGTTTAAGATTTCTTGGTAGTTCTTATTTGGCTCATTTGTTAATTAGGAGTATACTTGTTTATTTATTTATTTAAAAGGTAGAGAGAAAGAGACACAGACAGAGATCTCTCATCCTATGGTTCACTCCCCAAATGCCTGCAGCAGGCAGGGCTGGGCCAGGCTCAGGCTAGGAGCTGGGAGTTCAGTCTGGGGCTCCCATGTGGGTGACGGGGACTCGAGGATTGGAGCCATCGCCACTGCCTCCCA